AATTTTTTTTAAATCTACAAGTTTTCAGAAGTTCAAATCTGACTTTATATTCGATTTGATCTTCAGTGACCTTTTCAAGGTAAAAAAGGTCAAAAAGGTATTTTTTCAAGTTGCTTCAAATTGACCATTTTTTCAAAATCATCTGCAAGTTATCAAAAGTTCAAATCTGACTTTAAGATTTGAGATTTAAACTTCAACGACATTCTCAAGGTAAAAACAGTTAAAAGATCTTTTTTCAACCTGCTTCAAATTGACCAATTGTTTTCAAAATCATATACAAGTTCTCAGAAGTTCACATCTGGCTAGAAATTTGACCTTCAATGATATTCTCAAGGTCAAAAAAGATGTGACCTTCAATGACCTTCTCAAGGTCAAAAAAGGTCAAAATGTATTTTTTCATTTTGCTTCAAATTGACCAATTTTTTTCAAAATCATCTACAAGTTCTCAGAAGTTCACACCTGACTTTATAATATTGTGAGGAACTACATGTAGGTAGTGACATTTTGTCATGTTAATGCCTTGTTGCTTCTTTATAAGAGCTTCATCTACATACATATGACTAGTAACAAGGTGCTATTTTAAGAATATATTTTATTCTTTAAGTACATTCACATCCCTTGGGGTCAAGTACATGTACAAAAATTATAACAATTATAAAGGAAGGAAAAAAGACATTTACATGTAAAAAACTACATAACTATTAATATTACTATTAATGATGATGATGCATTGGTGCACTAGAGATATAGCTATTATATATACGGGATGTAATTCATTTCCATTTTAATTCTGATGACAAATGAGCTATTATATATACGGGATGTAATTCATTTCCATTTTAATTCTGATGACAAATGTGTTGGTTTTTATATTAAAAATCTAAACTTATAAATGGTTCTTTCCGGAAAGATTCAAAAACAATTAATAAGAAGTTTATAAGATTCACACGTTTTACAAAACTACAATGTACTATACTATTCTAGTAATTAATTTTCCATGAATCCTGTATGGCATCTTAAAATACATGACAGGTTTACTTCAAGGAAAGCTAACATAATGAGTTTTACTAATGTGTTACTTTGGGATTATTTCGTGACAGGAAGATGCGTTGACTACATGTAAGAGGAGGGTGATATTCTAGAATCCATTTGCTATATGAACTTCGAGAGGATCTTCTGTACAAAGAGATAGGTTCACTTACGAATTCTGGGACATTCCCTTCTTTTATAAGAGCAAATCTCAACCAATTCGATGACCAAAAATATATATGTCTATTGACACTAGAAGTACATATTCTATAAGCATTCCCTATAGTGAAATCAAAATCACTTTAGGGACTTTACAGACATGGTTGAAATGCTTTCAAATCGCAGTCAAACGCCCTGGTTCAGGGAGACTTAAGAAGGCATTTTGACCATGACAGTAAAGTCCCTGGAGTGATTTTGATGAAACTCCAGAAATTCACCACACATTGAATGAGGATAATTTGTGCCAAATCTGAAGCGCCAAAACACCATGGTTAGAAAGTTATTTGGTTTTATTGCTGTGGCAGTCACTTCTGACTGCGTTTTCATATTTTCCTAGTACAACTGTCATTTGAGCAGGTGTCCAAGGCATCATGTTTTACAACTTACTGACAACAGGAGCTATACATACACAGTCTTTTCTTTCTTTCCTGAAAAAATGAACATAATTGAATTAGTATTTTCCAAGATATAGTGATTTCCATTCGCGTTTTTCGTTTTTTGCTAGTACAACTGTCTTTGGAACAAGTGTCCAATACATCATGTTTTACAACTAACTAACAACAGGGGCTATACATACACAGTCTCTCCTTTCTTTCCTGAAAAAATGAACATATTTGGAAAAGTATTTTCCAAGATATAGCGATTTCTTTGGGTTGCGTTTTTCTTTGAACACCCAGTATTTGTGCATCAACTTATTGACTTTAAATAGGAAAATACCACTATCTTGAACAAACAGTTAATGGTAAACATGAACAAAACAATACTATTATAATTCGAAACTGATAATGAACGATAATCAGAGAAAGGAATAACATTTTCAAAAACGTTTATTCTAGACTGATAATTAAAGGGATAATCAGAGATAGGAATATCATTTTCAAAAACGTCTCTTAATAAGATCCCATGCTAATGTCATTGTAATCGTATTAGTACACGTTAATTGGGTCGTAGCCTAAATAGGAACAGAGTGTAATCTGTTAAAGCAGTAACAACAGTCTCAATAACGTGACGTAGAAATGATTACGTCCCATCTCTTGACCCATGCTTATACACTCGCGTCCAATATTTGGCAACCAAAACTACCCATTGGGTAGCATGTTTAAGTTAAAGTTTGAATTTAAATTCATTTCCTCAGTTAAAATATGGTACTAGTATGCAGATATAATTTTGAGAACATAGCTTAATACAATGTAATATATACATGACCGCGATCTATAAGTGAGTTTAGGGAGTGTCCATCTTTTGGAGAGGAGTGTATATATACGCTAGGATCTGAGGCCCAGGAATACGTTAAAAATGTTTAAAACGTCCCCTAGTGTACTGAGTTGGTAATGCGTGGTGTATACATGTATATTATACTATCTTTTACTACAGAATACTTACATGTATAAGAATAAGACTGTGTTTTTTTTATTCATGACTATATACCCGGGCCTCAGGCTAGGATGAAGAAACGAATATTGACTATTCTTAAAATAGTTTGCAGGTTTGTTTAGTAGGGAGCCAAGGGGCATTAAAAGTGGATCCTATGACCCAACTAATAAGAACTCAAAAAGCATATACCAAATTAAAGCTTAGATTCATGTCAGGTTTTTCACCCTACCCTTCATAGTCTTGAACTAGGATCTGTTGCTGATTCTTCGCATCAGCCTCGCTGCCATTCGATATATATCAGGCCCAAAGATTCCCCAAGGGGGGGGGGGTGACTTTCGCCGTAAGCTGAGGGGGTCTGGGAGCATAATGCCCCCGCCTAACGCCCTCCCCCCTCTTCGGACGGGCTTTTATACTCATCACATCTTTCTGTTTCACAGAAACATGACTGAGAAGAAATGAGATATCGGTTTATCATGCCTCGTTGCTACAGTATAAAAAGATCGTTAAAAAGTAATGCCATACTATAGTCGATGAAGAAGTCTGAAATGCAATCATGCGCATTAGTTTGACTGATAATGAGGAAAACTCACGTGACAATTGCTGTTAATGACTCCATCTTCTCACTCCAGTGAATGGAATAATGATTAATGATTATTGTTATTTGATAACACCTGATTTCAATCATTTTTATCGATGCTACAGGTGAGCTATCCGGCTTGCATTTAGGCCCTCCTTTTAACCGTCAAAGCTCTTTGCTGTTTTTGCTGCCATGTGTGTTAACAACTAGGTTTACAATCATTTTGCCAAATAATCAAATAATTGATCACATAATTCTCTTTATTCGTCTCTTGCATTTTATTCACCAGATACCCTCTTTATATGAACGCTTTGTAGAGAAGTACTTTCTTCAATATGCTTCTTCAGGAGGAACTCAGAATACAGAAACGGGTCAATACTCAATAGGGCTTGCTAACTCAATCTACTGGTAAATTTACGACTTCACTTACCCGTCATATTTTCTCAGAACTCGTCTCTTTAATCGTCTTAATGAAATAAGATAGCGTTAAGCATGCAACTCAACCTAAATGATTTTAATAAGTCGGATATAACATGACGGACCGGTTAACAAAAGGAGATGCGTGTGACACAAACAAAAGGTTTTGACGTGATTTACCTGTTTACAAGATTTTGCGTTCTTATAATCAAACTAATTTTCGAACTACGAGGGTTGATAATTTATTGTTAGCTTCGATGTGGTTCATTTGAGCTGTTGTTGGTGTCAAATGAAAGATAAGGTTCTTATCAATACATTGGACATACTATGAAATTCAAATGTATGTCTTTATTTCGCCCAGAAATGTTGAAAATACGCAAAGTGGGCCTTTAAGAGAGATTTTTTCACAGCAACTTAAGAGGGTAATAGTTATTTGTGCATGCTCAAGGATTGTGGTTTCTTTAGATAACAAATAAACAGAGGCAAAAACCCTTAGCTATCCAACATCCTTTGTTTACATTTGATAAAACATGAAAATTGTTGGAAAAATGTGAGTAAAATGAAATTCTAGTTTTTAGTACGGATTTCACTTGTGAGCGACTCGTATTTTAGTCACGAATAGAACAGGTCAATGCCGTCCATAATATCCCAAAACAAACTGTTCGATGCTTTAAAGAAGGGAAGGAGCAGTATGCCCTGTTAATAATCAAAGATTCGAACAGGAAAATCCGGCTACGGACAAGAATACAAAACTGGACATGAATATTCCAAAATAATTCCACGGTTGGTTGCAAAGTTTCTGAACCCTGTGAACTGTGGCCAATATTGAACAATTTGAACCAAGATTGCTATGGGATAAATAGATCATCCTATAATCTCTTTATATCCAACATTTGGAGGATATGCCAAATTGTGCTGCCATCTTTAAATGACCACTGTTTTAAGATTGATCAGAGAAGATAATTGTTATGCTCCTGTGCACGTCGAAGTTTGGTCCTTGAAATGTCTTACACATTATGATGCTCAATCTAGCCACCACTGTAAGGCAATATGATGGAAATAAGTCAAAATAAAGATGAAGAGTTATTAAGCTAGCCGTACACCAATGAGACATGTTGGGACATCAAGGGAGTTATTGAGTAAAATATTTTCATGGAGGGACAAAACGGACAATGCCCAATCGGTGTACGGCAACCTTTAGCGATGTAATGATGGCCTGAGCATTGTTTATACCTGCTATGTAATGCAAGGGTCACAAACACGGCACTTAACGTATCTCGTCTCAATTGTTTTGTTATCTAACTGAAGTATCAGTCACATTAACAAAAGATATTATACACAGTGTCTTCTGCTGTGACTTTCTGACATGACAATTCATACTCATATGGGTTGACGTGCAAATGAATGAGTAAAAAGAAAATCCAGGATTTAAGGAAACATCGAGAGGAGACTGTAAATGCGTTACTCATATGAACTATATTCTAAAGAACGAAGAATTAAAGTGTCTTTGAAGAATTTTAACGAGATCTTCAACTGTAAGGAGAAAATACGCAATAATAAACACTTTTCTGTGAAAACAATTTTGAAGTATACGTTACCTGGAATGTTTTTGAATATATATATTCCATGAAGGCCCAGACACCGGGATTATTACTCGATATATTATTACTCGATAGCCATAACTTTAACGGACTTTAAAATTCCACCATGGCTTCTTGCAGACGATCACGTTCGTTATGCGATACCTTAATGCTTCTGACAAAGATGACACTATTTTTGCTCGTGTGTGCAACAATTACTGAAGGACAAACTACATTGACAACAATTATGACAGCCAATGCCACTACAACATATAAGACCCCGACAACAACCAGGGTCCGCACAACAGTCAAAGCCGCAACAACCAAGGCCGCAACAACAATCAAGGCCCAAACAGCAACTACGGTTCCTACAACAATAAAGGCGCTTACAACAACAAAAGCCCCTACAACAGTTAAGGCCTCTACAACACCTAAAGCCCCTACCACAACCAAGGCTCCTACGACTACTGATGCGCCAACGACAACTCCCAAACCAAGTTCAACTCTCAAACCAACCTCAACTCCAAAACCAACCACAACTTCTAAACCAACAGCGGCTCCTAAACCAACCACAACTCCTAAACCAACCACAACTCCAAAACCAACCACAACTCTTAAACCAACCACAACTCCCAAACCAACCACAACTCTTAAACCAACCACAACTCCAAAACCAACCACAACTCCAAAATCGACCACATCTCCCAAACCAACCACAACTCCAAAACCAACCACAACTCCCAAACCAACCACAACTCTTAAACCAACCACAACTCCCAAACCGACCACAGCTCCCAAACCAATCACAACTCCAAAACCAACCACAACTCCCAAACCAACCACAACTCTTAAACCAACCACAACTCCAAAACCAACCACAACTCCAAAATCGACCACATCTCCCAAACCAACCACAACTCCAAAACCAACCACAACTCCCAAACCAACCACAACTCTTAAACCAACCACAACTCCCAAACCGACCACAGCTCCCAAACCAATCACAACTCCAAAACCAACCACAACTCCCAAACCAACCACAACTCCTAAACCAACCACAACTCCTAAACCAACCACAACTCCAAAACCAACCACAACTCCAAAACCAACCACAACTCCTAAACCAACCACAACTCCCAAACCAACCACAACTCTTAAACCAACCACAACTCCCAAACCAACCACAACTCTAAAACCAACTACAACTCCAAAACCAACCACAACTCCCAAACCAACCACAACTCCCAAACCAACCACAACTCCAAAATCGACCACATCTCCCAAACCAACCACAACTCTAAAACCAACCACAACTCTTAAACCAACCACAACTCCCAAACCAACCACAACTCCCAAACCAACCACAACTCCCAAACCGACCACATCTCCCAAACCAACCACCACCCCCACAACTCCTAAACCAACCACAACTCCCAAACCAACCACAACTCTTAAACCAACCACAACTCTTAAACCAACCACAACTCCCAAACCAACCACAACTCTTAAACCAACCACAACTCCCAAACCAACCACAACTCTAAAACCAACCACAACTCCAAAACCAACCACAACTCCAAAATCGACCACATCTCCCAAACCAACCACAACTCTAAAACCAACCACAACTCCCCAACCAACCACAACTCCTAAACCAACCACGACTCCAAAACCAACCACAACTATCAAACCAACCATAACTACAGCAACAAATATTCCTACAACAACTAAGGGCCCTACGTCAACTGTTTTAACAACACTTTTAAGTGTATCAACTGTAAGAAATCCGTCTACTTCGCAAACAACTACTACAACAGTTGAATCGAACACATCTGGATATTTAAATCAAGTTAGACTAGAAACTTGGTCTATAATACTCATTGCCATAGGCGCTTTCATTCTCGTTGTTTTCATAGCAATAATTGCGTACATGTTATTATACCGAAAAGCTAAACGTTATGCCGTGCATCTTGTGGACGATGATAACAAGATTGCAATGAAAGAAACTCCAAACGTGGGAGAATCTTATCCAACTTATAAACATAACAAAGATAATTATGGATACGTATGATTATTTGCTATACAAAATGGAAACGTAAATGCCTTGCCCAAGTCGGTATTTTATTCTATTTATCTTTATCATCAATTATACCGCCTGTGAAGTAAAACTAAAAAAAAGATAAACAAAAATACACCAACTTGTAAGCAAGGCCAATGCTAAAGGAGAAACGAGAAACAACCAAGAGACCATTATAATCGATAAATTTTGAAACTTGTAAATAAAACATGATGTTGATCAAATATGATGTCCCATATGCATAATACTATATCACTGTACATTATTGAATTATCACACTTGTATTATATTGATGTACAATATTTATGTTAATATCTATTTAAGCTACCAAGCTATTGATAAAAGTATCTGTTTTGAAACGAACATAATTTAATTGGGTTTCTTCTTATTTCATCGAGATGTTGAGTGACATTTATTGCCTCCTCAAGTCATCATTAACATAAGACAACAATAGTACGAGAGTAGCTTAGCTTACTGTATGTATACAATAACTAGCTGCTGTATGTATACAATAACTATAACTGTGGAGGCAGGTATACAGACGAATTAAGAGAAACAATAATGATTCATTGTTAGATTAGGAAGATGATTAAATGATTAAAAATGACATTCCACATGGGAAATAGTACGGTGGAGCTGCCGGTCAGTCCAACTTTGACGTCGATATCAACATTTGGATTGCCGTCTTCATTAGGTATGGCGGATAATTATATTTTATTTCACAAAAGCATTTTGTGCCTTTCCTTCTGAATACAGATATGACAGGCTGAAACTGAAAGACGTTAAGCTACTTTGAAAATCCAATTATATGCCATACCATACCATACCATACCATACCATACCACAACATACCAAACCATACCATACGATACTATACAATGGCATACCATATCATACAATACCATAGTATCAAGTAGCATCATATCATATCACATAATACCATACCATATCATATTTTTCTGGGAAATCAAGTCGGCGATGATGTAGCATCTAGCTGTTACGGTGAACTAAATCTAAGGAAGAAACTTCCTATTTTCAGCATCAATATTTTGTTTTAGGAACAACCACACAGAGCCCTCTATTATTAAACCCCGGTAACATTACCCACTGTTTGCCACTCTCCAATCGTACATCCCTGCCGCTCGTCCTGACCGCCCCTGAGCATCTAGATGAACTCGTCCTCAGTCATTACACTCAACACAAAGTGGGCGATTCCATTCGTCTTTCTTGTGATATCAGTAGAGAGTTACAGGGTGATGGCTTGCTTACGTGCGTTACGTCGACAAAGGGGGCCCATTGGGATAAGGTAGTCCCTTTATGTGTTGGTAAGCAGTTTTTCAATCATATTATCCGTAAACGACTTCGTGTGTAACAGAGCCTCAATGTTGAAATGAGCCCTGGACGTCCGTTACGTCATTGCAAATTAACCGCGATTCTAAAGCTTGTAAAATAATCCACGTACTTACCAAGTCCCTATAATTCAACTGCTTGTATTTCAGAGAGGAAGATAGCCTTGCCCCCACCACCGCCCAAGTTTAACGGGACAGTGTTCAAATCTTCCGTAATTGGAGGAGTGATCGCTGTTGTCATACTATTAGCATTCATTACTTTCTTCATGTATCGTCTTAGAGAGCATCAACGCAGAAAACGGATGGCAAGGTATGTCTTTTGAACTTTTTATCTGAACCTTTAAATTCATATACCATGAATTAGATGTGCAACACAGACTAGGAACAAGTTGAGTGTGAATATTTTCACGATTTTAAATTGAGTTTTGCTTAGAACATTCCATTTCATTCATGTTTTTAAAGGTTCAGCAGCTTTGACTTTATTTCATATAATGTTATGAGGTTATTCTAGTCATTTGAATTGTGGCTATCCTACGTCCATAGTTGATGAGACATGTAATCTCATTCCTGATTTTCGGATGATTAAATTACGATCTGAATGTTTTTTGAAAATATTGCTTCCAACATTTTATGCTCTCAATTTGTCACTATGTGATTGTGGAGTTATGATAAACGTAAACGTGAAAATGAATTCCAGGGAGGAACGGGACAGAAGCAGTACAACTGTCACTGTTATGACCGATTGCGCCGTATCGCCATCTCACGACGCCCCGGGAAACATGCTGTTAACTACCTTTACTACGGTGGCCATTACTGACAACAACGCAGAGGCAAACCCTAAAGACGTCGTCATAAACAATCTAACACCTCAGTCTTCGTGTGTTATCCCTGCCCCGGCATACACCGCCACTGTTCACAGCAGTAGAACGACAAATAAAGGAGAGATAACTGGTCGAAACACAGGGCCCGCGTCTATAAGTGTACCATGCCCTGTAGCCCCGATTCAGTTTGCCCAAGGGGAATGCAGTCCACCGTATTATGACACGCCAAACATTACTAGCCCAACTAGTGATAACAAGCTTGATCTAGGAGTTGAAAGTTCCGAGGACAAATATGACGAACCAGCTAATGTTGATACTGACGACGACATAATGGCGGACTTTAAATTCCCAAATACTAAAGTTATTGTAAAAGACGAATCAGAAGATGAGCCAACGAGATATGAGATACCCGAAGCTCAACCAGGGAATGCTAAAAGCGTTGTAGTTATAAGGAGCCCCGAAGCAAGCCCACGTTACGAAGCGGTTGATGACGAATTGCCGTCGAGCCCCAGCTACGAAATACTCTCTTCTGACGTCCCTAAACGATCTGTCAGTTACCCTGAGCCTCCTAGTCCTGGTTATGAGATACCCGACGTGGCCGGAAATAGGCCAAATAGCTTCGACAATATACCACTGCCATGCTACGACGCACCTTCTAATAAACCTATTGAAGTCAAGAAAGATCCATTTGGCATTAGCCCTCTGGAAACCCCCGAACGGGTGAGCGTCAATTCTAAGCGTTCATCAGACATTGATGGAATACGATCTGATAGTACCGTATCACTTTGTAGTCACTACACTGATATGTCCAGGCAAAACTCCACACTTAGTTTTCACAACGACAATCCCGATGATACAATGATGGCCAGTACTTTCCCACCTCCACCAGCCCCCGAAACCATTGCTGCCATTATAAATGATTCGCTGGAGCAAGTCCAATCGGCAAACGAAGACTGTGCCAATTACGTCCTTCCTGACCCAACTCCTAAACCCCACGAAAATGTCACATCAGACTTGTACGATGTACCGCCTCTAACATCATCGAGGCAAAACTCTACGGTTGACCAATCCAACGCTGATATGAACGAGACAAGCGCTCACACTGAACATCTAACAGACGACACAAGTTCTGAACCAAAGAACGAATATGAGAATGTACAGCGAGAGACGATGGATACAAATGATGCCTATGTCAACACAAGGTATATTCAATACTTATACAGTAGATCGACACGATATGACATAAGTTATAGTCCTCCTGGGATAAAACAGTTGTTTGAGCGACATTTATCCGCCACACCCTGCTTGTATTTCTAGGCTGAAATTCCTTAGATTTTACCACCAGATTCCGTTATTTGCACTTTTAAACCAATCAATGTATTGCCTGCGACATTGTTTTCGATTTAGTATACGCGTTGACAGATTTATTCTATTCTATCCTAAGGCTACCTCTTGAGAATGACAAATTGCCCGTCACAACTGTCTGATGAAGGAACGCAATCATCATGTAAGTATCAAGGAAGGGCAACCTTCGCACGTCAAGCTGTAATGATGTTAAGGATGCTCTTAAACAACTGAAAATATCAATGAAATCATGACAAATCAACGTTATGCACATTGTATCATTAAATAGACTGAATACAAATCTTTAATTGGTCAACCATGCTGCCCTCTTTTAATCGACCAAACCTATATAATCGATATTTGGAAAATAGATATTGACAAATACATGTAGAACATCTTTATCTGACTGAAGAATACACGCTGTAATGACAACACAATTTTTCAACAATCAACAACAACAATCAACGATTACTTATAGGCTAATTTAAATGATTACGGGTTTGTTGCCTTTTTATTCTGATTCATGCGTTTTTCGTCCTTACTTAGTTTTAAAATACATAACAATCTGCGGTCTTAGTGAACTGCCTTTGAAGAGCTGCGATTAATCAAACAAAGCATGCGGAATGTCATTAAGACATTAATAGTTTAGCCATCAGGTTGAACACTAGTTTACTTTGAATGTAAAGTACTGCAAAACGAGAATACTTAATTTTACAGTTTTCGCAGCCTGGCACCTAGGTCTTGGCAAAATCTTAGTAAACTCATCACTGACTTAAAATTAAAAGAAGCAGTAGACCTCAACATTTTTCAATTGGTCCAGGAAGAAAAACGACATGGGGAAAATTAGTTCCAAGCGACGAGGTTGCCTCGTTCAACTTGATTACGTCATGAGATTATGCATATTTGATAAAAATTATACAATTTTAAATTTACAACTCATCAAAGATTTTTCAAAATATATTAAAATGTTTTTATTTGAATTTAAAAAGTTGTATAAAAAAATCAAAAGTCTTTTCTGGGTTACTGCGAATGGCATGATTTCCTCGAGTCTCTTCAGTTGCAAGGCAACCATACTGGGACCGATTCGTGTCGTTCCACTACTGCCCTTGGTGGGGGCCCGCTACCATACTATATGACTCCCGGAATCTACCAAAGCACGTTAGTGGAGGAACCAACCACAGTCTCACAATCTGTCTCCGACAAGAGCGGTCAGAGAACCAACCCATGCCAAGGGCCGGTATACGGTTGGACCTTCGGACCGGGTGTCCGTAGTGACAATGATCAACAACTCCGTACCTGGGGCTCGAACGCGGGACCTCCGTATCCCCCGGTACATTCTACCACAGTCTAACCCACTCAGCCAAACTGCTCAGGTGTCTAAACTCCTCTAAAATGTAATATTTGTTCTACTTTTTTGCTTGAATGAACATGAACGTGCCTATAATAATCTTATTTTCTGAACCATTTGTTTGGAATTACTAGCTAATTACAAACAACAACAATCACCGCGCTCAAATGCGTAATTGGCTACTTCGTGTAATTGCGCCTTCTAAGATGTCATATGCCACAGAAGAAAAAGAGCGAATTCGATTATTATAACACTTTTCTTTTGAATAAATCAATGTCCAGTGTTCATAAGCTTTAGGTTATCTGGGATTTATACTTTAAGAACTCAGAAAAAGTTTAGTCTAATTAGAAGTCACCACAACGCGACATTTTAAGAATAATCGTGTACAATATCATCGTAAGTATTCGAAATATTTTCATGAATGGAATCTAGATCCAATATTTTGGATAAATGTTTGTCACATGTACTTGCTTTTGAGATACAATATTAATTCGCCGTCTTGAAAAACACTGACTTGATATACTAGCCTAGTTACAAAATTATAAGATGCAATCACTATCGGTTCTACAATAGGCTACAAGTACACGTGAAAATCTAGCCCATTGGCTCTTTTTGATAAAATGTGTAAAAAATGTGCGCAAGACGGCATTGTATCACGAGGTGTTTTTTGGGTTAACGATGTTAATTAATGAGACTTTTGGCCAAACAAGCCAATAATCGGCAAATAATGTTGCCAAGTAGGTCTTGCTTCATTCACGATCATAATACTGGGCAAAAATCCGACTAATTACTGTTACGCGTTCGTCAAATTTTCTTTTTCTTTTGTTTTTTTCACAATCGGTCTTGGACGAGATGTGTATTAAAATGCTGATTTGATGATGACGTGGAATCTTACTTAAATTAACAAACCTATTTTCCCAATAAGAGTAACACTGTACAGTATTTATACATTGTGTCCGTACGTCATTGAATTCGGATATACCAACAGGAGGGAATACCCCAGAATCTACATCCATGTATATTTGGACCTCTATTTTAGGTTTAACTTTACATGTAGAAAGGTTCCTTTGAATTCTGGGTCATTACCCATCTTGGGTCACAAAAAAGTCAGTTGCATACGCAGAGCCAACAAAAGTTCTAAAAAGCAATCCCAGTGTCCTGTTTAAAAAACTATTCTTTCTTTTGAAATGGATTCTAGCAATACTATTCAACATGAATCTAATTGTTGAGACTCGATCAACTTGAGTTCAAATGTGACCCTTTCTTCCCCAAAACTCCTCATTTCTGTAAGTATAACAAAAGTACCAAAAACACAGAATTGCAAAAACTTCCAACTGAAAACCCTGCAATGTTTACAGTAACGTATGTCACCTCTTGAATGTGACACATGTTGCGTTGATAGACACTTTGAAACATCTATTCCTATGTATGATTATTAAAAGAGGCATGATTAATTAATAAAACAAAACGCTAGTAGAACTTAATGTTGTTATTTAACCGAATAGGTTGATCAATGTAATAATATGAAATATTCCTAGAATTTTGGGTGTACCCAATTCACTAACCTTCAACCACATGTTACTTAATTACGATACTATATGTGTATACTTAACTTCTATGTTCTAAATAAGTCACCAAACAGACAGTACGTGAGAATGATTACAGGCCACAAAATACAAAATGAACAAAAGAAAAACTCGAGCTCCTGTGGTTAAAATTTTAGAATGATAAGGATAATCTTATTTTTATCATTTTTGGATATGTACATATTAGGTGTAAGTGACGTTTTAATAATTGAATAGATATATGGAATGGAGTAGGGCTAGAAAGGTGCAATATGGCCACAAAAATATTATGAATATATAAAGTTAAATCTAGTATTTTATTTCAATTTCATCATCGATTCACAATAGTTTTTTTGCCTAAACATATGTTTCTTTGGTTTCAGATCCAAGTGGACTCTAAAATGGATAACCCAATACATGATCAAAAAGGAACTATGGGCATCTTTACTCTGCGCCTAAATATTACAGGGAATATAATTATAAAATTGAACATTACAAATCTGGAGTTCGTGCATAAACTTTTGGACAAACTCAAATGGAACCATGGAAACGTCAACCATGAAAGCCATCACCATAAAAACATTGATTTCGAGAATCGTTACCATGGAAACCATCACCACATCATATTAAAACGTGATACAAACAATACGGAAGCTACCAGTTCTTCAGATATACAGAATACCACAAATCATACCAATAAGACAAATAACACTATTCTACAACCAAACGCTGCAATCGTCACCATGGCAACGAACAATACAACAAATGACACCGTGTCACTGAACACGACATTGAATGCACAGACAATAACCATACACCATTCAGGGCTAGGGGCGAGACATATCGCCATCATAGTAGTCATAGCTGGATTAGCAGTAACACTAGCTGTTGTAGTGGTGTTCTTGGCCATAATGTGTGCTAGGAGAGATAACTCTCCAGTTGAGGTTGGCCAAACACGTGGGAGAGACAATAAAGCTGTAATTGATGCACTGTTTGCCTCAACGCAAAACGCAGAGTCGTTAGTTTGAAATAGTATTCATTGGAAAATATATATTAGATAAACCTTAGTAGTAGATTTTCTAGATTTTAGTATCCATGCATTATATCAATGCTCTGACTTCATAGCAGAGCTGGATAAACGGTTATTATATTCATTTTGATTCGCAAGGTTTTAGTTGCTTTAACTTCACCTTGATAATCTAAGAATGACACAATCGACCATATTTTGCGGGGGCTTTCGGACAAAAAAATTCCATAATATCGATTTAACAAATTCTATTTGTCATAGATATGAAATATGAATTCATTTTAAGATATACGATGTTCATAATTAGTGGGACAAATAATTATTTCTTTACAACAACATTCGTTTTAAGATGTGGTTTTTAACATTAATTCCACATTTAAACTCATTTACAAGGGCACGAATGTTAAGATCTTCGACGCATCAAAACAAAAATATACAATCAATTGGTAATGTGGCTTACTTAGCCGGTTAATAAGGAATTCGCTTTACATTCGCATACTGGTGTCAGAGCTCAGTAATTGAGTTGAGACGATGTTCTCTTTTAAAGAAATAAAATCAAATTATAAGAAAGGGTAATGGTATTTAGAAAAACAGCAACTCCGTGGAGTATCAAATCTCATCAACAAAATGTATTTTATCAAATCACATAAATAAGTTTGAATATTGTGTGATAAATGTATTACCAGCCATTTTGAATTCAGCAACCATCTTGAAAATTTCTTCCGTTGCCCATGAGAGGCCTGTGTCAAAGAGACATCAGCACATAAAATCTGAATCAAATCTGAAGTGCCAGAGTTACGAAAAAGTGGAGGCCATTTTGAATTAAGCAGCCATGCTGATAATTAATTCTTGAACAGAGGTCCTATTCCCATAAAACATCAGCCTAGTAAATTTGGACCAAATCAGATAACTGTTACAAAGTTACACTCTCATAAAAATTACACTCCCATAAAAATTACACTCCCATAAAAATGGCGTCTATTTTAATTTTAGCTGCCATCTTGATAAAAGGTCTTGAGTAGAGGTCCTATGGTAATGAGGCGTCAGCAAACAAAGGGACCGAATCCGTTCATTTGTATTAGAGTTATCACCTGGACAGACGAACGAACGAACGGACAGACAGGGGGGACGGACAGCTTCACTATATCCCTCCCGAACTACGTCCAATGGAATAACAAAACGAAACATGTCATTTATACACGTCAGCTGAATTAACACAACAATATATAAGCTAGAAAAGCACGCATATTGGAATTCTGATCCATAAGCCATTAACCGTGGGTGATATATGTTTGAACAGCTACCGAACAATCCACTTGTTGATTTATTCTTAAATGAAGTTTCTCTTCCACATTTCATCCTCTAACTTCGCATAACAGGAAAGTGGGTTTTAATCGGATTAAATTTTATATTCTCTGGAAATTATATGACACACAGCCTTTGTTAGTTTTTTACTGAGTACTGGTCAAGGATGATGTTGCCAGGCCGGATTATTCGTGCTGTAACGTTTATTGTATTTGGAGGTAGGTACATGTCGATCGAATAAATAAAACTACAGCCTTAAGGGTGTAATTCTTTTTATCTAATGATAATTAATATAATTCATAATGATATGTAATCAATTTAAAAAATCAATATACCTTTTCGTGAATATTCTTTATTGTAATTAAGTATTCTTGAAAAGTCGTTCACGGAGAAATGAAGTAACTGCCTTTTAAAATAGTCATTTAAATATCAAGTACTGGGTGTTCCAAAAATTTGTACCCAGATGAAACGGGAATAACACTGTTTTCGTTCATTGTAAAAAGCTGAACGTCTTACACGATCAAGAACATTCACAATGTTAATAATTGGTAGGTCAGATGCCCAAATTTCAAGAATATTCATCATCAACAATATAAATAACAATCTCAAAAATAATAGAGTTATTCTATGTTTGTCACGGTACAATTTTGAGGACACCCTGTAGAAGACTGGTAGTTCGATTTTGCATTGTCGTATTGGTTACTGGGTTTCAGATAGAATAACTCTACACCACAAAATAAATTTCAACATCTTACATTTCAAAATTCTCACTTTATGATCACCCTGTACAAAAGCCTATATACCAGATTTTATTCATGTCAGTGATACTAGAGAGGGCAGTAGTTCAGGGGGATCTGCTGCAGATGTGTGGCCAGATTCAGCTGTACACGGGCAGGAGCTGCATGAATTACGTTAACTATGGCTGCTACTGTGGGTGGGGCAGCAGGGGAAGCGTTGTTGAGGATCACATAGATTTGTGAGTATAAAATGATTTTTTAAAAGAAAAAAAACTGTAGTAAGGGATGACAATGACCTTGTGAAAACTAATTGTATCATAATGATTATAGAGAAAAGTGTAATAAAAGTGTTGTTTAATATCATTCTTTTAATGAAATCGTAATATTTTGCAATGTGTGTTCTGAAATTAGGCACATGACTTAATAAAATTGAACTATTGTATTTCATGCTAGAGTTTAAGTTAAAGTCTCATACAAGAGCCCCGTGCTTAAAATCATTCACAATTCATTGAGACCTGGGCTTATAAAAATTAAAATTTATAACATATAATGTAATGTGACGATCGGATGTGAAAATCGGATACATGAGGGGAATTGAGATAACCGTTATGTTACACTTACATATACGATTCATTAACAATTAGTAGTTTATCATATACAGGGTGACACAAAAATACATTCTCCTAATTCTGAAATATATTTCTCAATATTATGGGGAGGTGGAAACTCCTTGTGTAAATACAGTATACAAAAAGTGCATTCTCAAAATTCATTTCGTTCGTTGCGTACCTTCACTACCAACAAAGTGATGTACATATAGCCTAAAAGACTGGAGATTTAGGGTAATTATGCATCCTCCAAACAGGCCTCCAGAATTCGTCTTCTTCCGAAGGGACATACACTGTAGTGGATGATGTCTGGAGCCCTGCGTTCGGAGGATGGGTAAGTACAATGTTAGGTTTGCTCTTGCATTGAGTCTTTTGAAACTATTCGTTTACCTACAGTTGCTGCAAAACTCATGATGACTGCTACGAGGACATCCAAAAAAATCCAAGATGTCCTGCATTTAGCACATATAGTCATGAATACGACATAGAATGTGATATGGACAATAAAAATTGCACCTGTGGGATTGGTAAGTTGTTTTATGTTACTTTTAAAAGGGTTCAATGATTCCTCAGTACGTGTGCAACTGGGCGCCACGCCTATTTGTATTTGTACAGAGATCTATATATTTAACCAGTTCAAAAATCAAGACTATAGTCTCGGTTTGGAGAACGAAATTATACTGCACGTTACCGCTTTGCACAATTTTGATATTTTGTTACATATCGTAGATTCAAATGTGATCTTTTGAATTTTCATAATTTAATTTGGGTGTTATTTCTATATTTTTCATAAAAGGTATTAGCGTAGTAAACTGATGAGCTTCGTTCTCCAAACCGAGTCTTGTCTTTTATTGAAGCGGTCCACTGAACGTTACACCTGCTGCGGAGAATTTTGAAATTTTTACATATTGTAGATTTAAATGTCCTCTTTTTAATATTTATAATTTAATTTTAATATTTTCCATAAAAAATTATTAGCCCAGTAGACTGTTCTCAAAACCGAGACTTGTCTAAAATTGTTATATTAATGAGGTGTTGCGCCCATTTATAAACATTTTTTAATTTTGTTCTTGGTTCTTCAATACCAATGTTTCATGATTTAGAAATATGAGTTTCATTCTACATTCCTCAAAAACTGAAACAGACAGAACTATTTTATCAAATGACTATCGATATCTACCTCTAGGTACAACATGCTCTAAGAAGCTCTGCAAATGCGACAATGAGCTAGCTAATTGTTTAAAGAATCAACAGTACAGGAGAAAATACAGTGGTATGTGTTCCGACCCTAAGTCACCAATAGGCTGGAAGAAAGAAAAGTATCTAGGAGACGATATTACAGACGCTTGAGATTTACTCAGCAGCTGAAGTTAGGAATAATTCAAAATGTCATTATTCACTGAAGAAAATAGTTGATTTTATTTGAGGGATGGGTTAAAAAACGTTTCATTTTGGTGAAAATACATGGACTGTAAAACATGTTTTTGTTTATGTGCCTATTAGGCTACAGCCAAAATTTAGAAAATGCATTTACTTTTAAAAAACACCATGAATGAAGAAATCGTTAAAAGGGTTACAGAATGCTTGATAACATATTGGAAATGTTTTTACATTTCTGCCAGCATGAGCATTTTTTCTTGATGTATAAAAGCTGGAAAGTGGAAATAAAACGCCACAATGTTATTTCTAAGGAGAGAAAATTATTCAGAAAACTGAACATTGAAATAAATTTTTTCACTTTTCAGTTTTTGAACATCAAATTTATTTTTTGTGTGAAAAGACATACCAAAAGGGCTCGCAAATATTATATCATTACTGATACGAGATTTTTATTATGATAAGCTATCTTTCAAGGCAACATGGGTGAATAAACACAAGGAGCTCACGACCTCATGGTTAAGGCGAGAGCGCCTATCGAGGCGTGTTCAGTACTCAAGAACACTCCAAAGTATTAAAGATTGCATACTAACAGTAAATAAAAACCCAATTCCATTCTACCGTTAATTTTGATGATCTGTGGATAGTATTATTTCACTCAGGATATACAGGGTGGGCCAATTAAAACGCCACTTTTTTCAAAATGCTAGAACTTTTTAATTTTTGATACAAAATTATAATTTGCATACCAAATGAGGTTGAGTTCATGAATTATACACTTTTACTTGAATAAAGCGTCTCATCAGCGTCTCACTTAAACATGTGGTGTGCCATAAGAAATAAGCATAATTGGCAAAATGTTCCTGAACTGATACGGCCTGATGATAGCCAAGCTAATACTGAGCCCTGATGCAAACCCCAGTGAGTATAGGGTATGGGAAGGTCTCCAGGATTGTATGAAGGCACTCAATCTAGAAAATTGCTCAACTAAAGCTGGCAATTAAGACAGGTTGAAAAAAACTTAGCTGACATTTCATTGATACTGCTATATCAGCAAGGCGACTAAAACTAAAATATATCATCAATTAGGGTGGCGGACCAATTGAACTCCCCTTTTAGACCAAATATAATCCAAGTTGAAAGACTTGTTACATTATATTATTACTAAGATCCCCTGGCACTATATAACTGCAAAATTTGGGGTATGTAGGTTGGAAAATAAAAAAGTTATAGTGTCTTGAAAAAAGTGGCGTTTTTGGCCCACCCTGTAGATTCTTTAAGTTCCTATCAAAACAGTCATTTTGCATACGAATCCATGATAAAGGCGAGGTCAAGATAAAATATGTTTTCATTTGGGGAATATTGATATTTTGCTATTATTTTATACTCAGTAAATAATGTGTATTTTCATTTTAATGTACATGTGAAACTATACTATTAAAACAATGGTTATAAGTTTATTTGTTTAATTTGAAGTAGAAATTCCAAAACACAATTTTTGTGCATAGGATATTAGGAACCAACTTTACTCTTTAGTAGGCGTATATCAGTATACATGTATATGTAATATAGGAAATATATCTGGACCGTCTGATTTTACTTTTGGAAATAGACTTCTAGAAATGCTGCTTGGTGTTCCGAGTTTTTTGAAATTATCAATTTGCCATCTCCATCTACTTGCTACAGGGAACAACAACGTGAGAGACATTAGTTAATAAAACAATTAATATCTTAAATTTTATCTTATGTCATGCGATTTTAATTTCATTTAAAACTTGAGTTAAAAAAGCATTTTGTTGACATTCAGATACATTTTCTTTTAATATATACATTTGTAATTGTTAATCGGTATCATTCAGAAATTCATTTGTTGAACAAGAAAAATAACCAATTTAGTTCCAAATGTTATACATTCCAAGAGTAATATATTCCATTCCAACCCCTTACGGTGCCAGCGATACTATTCAATTGTATCAGAAGCCTTCTAGTGCAATTTGAAAATGAAAGGAGCCAGGTCAGTGTTTCGATGATATCCAAAATATACTGTATATCAAGGCATTAACATGCGAAATGTCACCACCTGCCATTCGTTACAGATGCCAAACATGGTCCACAAAAGGTTGGGGACTATAACTTCTGGTGGTGACATAATAATGTTATCAATTACATTCCAGCCTAAACTTTAGGGTTCTCTCTCTCAAGAATGTACCTGCATTTTCAAATTATTAGAACTGAAACTCTAATATGTTGTCTCAGAGAAATCATTTTATAGTATCCTTGGCAACAGTCATAGAATGCAACAGGTGAGTTCTAAAATTATCTCCCATGGTCATGGAATCCCTTGTGATTTTAAAGCATTTTGAAAAGCATTATGGCTTCAACACCATTGCTAGGTAAGGGACATTGATTGTATGTATTAATGTCCACAGATACCGATCTCGATATATTCACATATTTTGCTATTTTGCACATTTGTGGACTGACTTTTTCACATCAGCCCTTATTAACACAGGATTTTATTCTGTGTTTTCATTAACTATATCCTTGAACACAGGCATCTTTCCCACTAACATGACCAACGGGTTACTACATTTTATTATGAAAAATCATATTTCCAACAAAGACTGAAACACAATGTTGTATTCCATGATAATTTATTCATAAATGTGTATAATAGAATATGTATCATACATATGATATACCCTTAACATTATATTACACGTAAGCTTTAAAGTCTTAAAGATGGAGTTCCAAATGTTGACACTAGAAAAAACCTAGAAAAACGAAGTTTATATGATATGATTACCCCCCCCACTCATCTCACCATAAAAGGAAATTTAAAAATGTTGATTTGCATCCACTTGAAATTCATTACCTTCAATCAAGATTTACACTCAAATTGCTTCATTTACTCTCTCCTCAAAAAATTTACTTCATTCTTATACAACTGTTGACAATTCTATCAGACTGCAATAGCAATACCTTTCTGTTCATACATTCACATGTTATTTGCAAGACCAAGACCCCACTTATTTATCTGCACTTACAAATGTTTGAGATTACAAAATTTTGATATATTCATACATCTTCATCAGGTTAACAGTTTACCTTACCTTAATTGAGTTTACCAGATGAAGATATCTGAAAATATCAAAAATTTGTAATCTCAAACAATTTGTTTGTTTTAAACAATTATTAACATAATATATCTGCACGTATATATACAATATACAGTGATCCCTATTATATATACAATATTTCCTATTATATATACAATATACAGTGATGATTGATGACTAGATTTATACAAAAGTTGAAAATCTTACCAAACAAAGACTTTCACTCATAATAGTGCTTTTTGAAAAATTCTGTTGAAAAGTTTAAAGGTTATACAGTAAAACCTGTCTTAGTGAACACCTCTGTCTCGTGAACACCTGTGTTTAGTGAACACCTCTTCTCAGCACATACTCCACTGTGTGCTGTGTAAACTGTCTCTCTGTAGTGAACACCTACCTATAGTGAACATATTTCTTTGGCTCCATAGGTGTTCACTTTACACATGTTTTACTGTATCATTTTCAAAACTTTTCGATTGAACAGAGTTCATCAAAAATTAAACTGCAGTAATCAATTCGTTGGGTGGAAAATTGTACATGATCTTTTATATTATAAAATATTACAAACATCGTATATTGTTGCTTTATTTGTGAAATATTAAATACATCTAAATTTATTCATTTTGAGGCTCAACCTCACTGTATTACCCTATAGAAATCCCCTTTATTTACATATTATCCCATAATTTCATAATTTCAATCCCATCGACCAACTCCTGTAGTAAACTCCCTATTTACATTTCCTGATTGAAAACCATTGTCTACTTTAAATGCAAGATGAGCAACAACTTGCCACATAATTGTTAGGTACAACAGGTCCAAAAAACACAGAGCAGAAAAAATGTAAGTTGAACATGATCATGAATTGTTTCATAAACTGAGATGAACAAAATTGCTGGAATTCCACCGGGAAAAAAGATAAAAGCCCCTTAGTGGAAAGCGCTTTACAAAATTGCCATCATGATTACACCAACATTTCTAAAGCGCCTTTGGAATTTTATTTTGAAATTACACCTGTCATTTGTAAATGCCTTTCATGCACTTTTAACGATGCAGATATGGAGAATATCCAGCAGATATCCAGCAACTTTTGTAAATCCACAATCGTGATTACACCTATTTTTCAAACCGGGTTAAAACCTTAGGCGCCTTTCTAAAACGCATGGTGTAATTCCAGCAAATGTGTTTTATGATTTTAATGTTGCCCTTTGAGTATTTACATTCTCTTATGGAATGTTAAATATACAGATTCCTTTTAATGTAATTTTCTACGCAAGAGTGAAAAGACGGCTATTTAAACATACTCAAAACGCCATACTTATATTCATTTTCGCAAACTGATCAATACCTTAGCATTAGTAAAGTTACAGCATGCAAAAAATAAATAAAATTGCATAATGATACAAGGCATATTAACATGCAAAATGTCACCACCTGCCATTTGTTACAACACCATCCACAAAAGGTTGGAGACCATAACAATACACTACTTGTGGTGGTGACAAAATAAAAAGCAGAGAAGCCTACAATTATTATAGTAGTCTTCATGGCTCTAAATAACCCTATAAATAACAAGTTACAGAAGACTGCTTTAAAAAAATGTGTCTACAATTTTATGTTCATGAATGATTAAGTGCTACATTAATTGTTCCGGTTTTCCGTTTACTTTTTATTTGCTTTGTTGAGAACATAATGTTCACTACAATGTTATTTATCTTTTATCAGATGTGCACTTTCACCATCACTTTCATCACTCGATAAGGATACATTGTCTTTTTTTCTGGAGTCGTCTGTATTCTGTACCGTTGCATTATGGGTGCTACTCCCAGTGTCTCCCTCTGTTGGCTGAGCTGTTGAGTTTGAATCAGATTTCTTTCCTCTAGCCTGAAACATAACGGTTGTACATATATAGTCTAAATGTTGTAATAAAGGCTTTGCAATCCAAATGCTGTTTTAAAGGTTGTACAATTTTGATGCAGTATTAAAGGTTGTACTTTAATACTGTGATAAAGGTTGAACAATCTAAATGTTCAACTTGTAAGTGAATTGTCACAGTGGTCATGTTTTCAAATGCAAAGTAGAGTGAAAAAAGAGGGGAACAATAAAAGCAATTAAATCAAGGCAAAATGTCACCACCTGCCATTTGTTACAGATGCCGAACACCAACTGTAGAACATCATACCAAAAGAGGTTGAATATGTCACCACATACATGTAATACCATTATGATACTAGAAATAAATACTTGTTTCTAAGAGGATTGGAATACAACACCTTATCTACAAAAACTCACTTATCCATACCATACATAGGTTAACATTAAAATGTCAACTTCAGACAAATTATAGTACTGTATTATGTAATAAGCTACTGTTTTTCAAAGCACCATTATCCATTTATCAAATCATTTCAATAACATAGGAATGGAATATAAAAAAGATATGCTCAATTGGGTCTAAGGAACCTAAATATGGATAAGAGAGAAAAAATGCAAAGCCATGACCCTTGAATATCAAAATCGTACATAAGATTGTGGCTGACATCATAAAATATGGGTTCTATGTACCCTGTCTCCAGTCCAGATGTGTTTGAACTCCCCTCGTATGAGTGCTATGATGTATGTAGGTATGAGGCCACAGGGTACCAGGTACAACAAGGCTGGCTGACCAATCTCCATAAATGCCAGGGCAACAAAACATATCACTAAGCCGACGCCATAAGCTGAAACATGAGAAATAGTTCTTAGTTACCAGATATAAATACATGTAGCAAGACATGTTTGTAACAGATACAGGGTGACGCAAAAAATTACCCTATATTTTGCTAAAATACAATACTCTATAATTTTGGATTTTTTTCAAATTTTCGAGAGGGTAACATTTTTGTTTTACCCTGTACAAGGGTGATCTATTTGTATTCTTATCAACATGACATAACTCTCTGGAATCACCTTGAAATCACAAAAAGCACTATTTACTGAAAAGTCCATTGTTTACCAAGTGCAAATGAATGATTGACATAGCCAGAATAATAAAACAAGTCAACATGATTGTGAATACTCCAATAGTAGTACAACATGAACATGTGAAGATGTTTTGCAATTTTACAAATTTAAAAATACAAGTGATACAGGGTAACACCTACCAATGCAGTTAGTTATGTAGTAGATTTTCTTGCTTTGTACTTTGAGATCAAAGCCGTGGCAGTAGGACACTAGCAATCCTGAAATAGAATAGACATTAGTTTTATTTTATCATTAAATATAATTTTCATCTGAAAAACATCAGGGGGTATGTTTTTAAATAATCATAGAAGGGAGAAAAATTTCATAGAAGGGAGAAAAATTTCAGATGTTTTTTCATATAAAACGTCCATGTCTCTAATTTCAAATATAGGCTTATACATATGATACAATCATTGGAGAATCATTTGCTCAAATTTAATAGAAAATTTCACACAAATATTCATTCATATTCTAAATCTTCTGTTAGTTTTTTTATTTTTACCTGGTACTAATATATCCCCAAAGCCAAGCAGTGAGTATGGGAGACTACAGACATTCAATGCAGCATCACTAAACTTTGGCACTTTCAACACCATAGGTAGCTGAAATATATCCAAATATGGTATTGACAGGTATATTCATTTCAGTTACAATTATCTCACATGAGACACAACAAGGCAGACATGTGTGGTAACTTATTGTAACTTGATGTCTGAAGGTAGAAACAGTTCCCCATATTAATCTTTATCCTGGCTACTACTATAGACAGTTGTTGCCAGCGCTAGCCTTTTATCAAGTTAGCAGCACTCTAGTAATCACCTCCCTGGTATAGCAGATAATTAGTTAGAAATATATGCCAAGGCCTGGATTTGAACCCAGGATCTTGATCCACTCTGAATATAAGAGAAAGTAAACTATTATGTCACATACCTGTTCTCCGCTAGTTCCACCTGCCCCAGTTGCAACATCTACCATTATACTCTCACCATGCTGAAACAAGTGAAATGCAAATTCACAGAAAAAGAGTTTAAATACTAATAATATTTCAGGACTTTTTGGACAACCCTCGTATTATGTCTCACCATGAAATATAAAAAAAATCATGCAAGGAGAACATACTGTAAAGTGGAACACCTCTAGAAATGGAACACCTTTGTTTGTGGAACTTTTTTTAAGAGCAACTGACAAAATGCTAAATACACCTTTATAAGTGGAACTCCTCCAAAGTGGAACACTTTATTGAGGTACCAAAGGTGTTCCACTTCAAACAAGTTCTACTCTACATAAGTATGAACTGGTGGTAATTCATTTAAAATATTGTTTTAATATCACCATTCATACATTTCAGTTGTGTTTCAAGTTACCATTGTACTCAGGCAATATGGTGAAAGGAAGTTCAAGAATTATACACTGTGTCTTACCTTTGTGAAGAGGGGGGTGATAAAGACAAAGAATATATCATAGAAGAATAGGAGGCCGAGCAGAATGGTACAGCCCTGAAAAAAGACATGAAAATCAATTAAATCACAAAATTGCTATGGAAACTAATGCATATACCACGATGCAAAATGACTTTTATTTATGCCAGGATATCATTAAACATTCAGAACCAGAATGTGCATAAGATGATTTTCTGATAATTGGATTTGCAATTTTGTGCAATTCCATGAGACTAAACTTGTAGATATGTGATTCCAAAGTATACTTTGAATTGCATCCTCATATGAGATACAGTTAAAATGGATATTACATGTATTAATGAGTCTGACAATGGCATCGTGATCTTTTACTATTATGCGACATTCTATTGGTGTTGAAACACAGTAACCTCCATTCTTTTAGACAAGTGAAACATTAACTTCTTTAAGCAGTCATCTACAGTAACTACACAGCCAATATAATTCGGCGCCGTTTCGGCATCGAAAAAATTTGGCGCTGTTCCGGCACCGTTTCGACACCGTTCCGGCACTGAAACCTTTCGACACCAAAATTTGCCACCAGACTAGTCAGTCCATTTGGTGCCATTTCGAAATTTGGCACCAAAACGGCGTCGAAAATCAGATTGCATTTTGGGGGTGTATGAAATACAAAATGTGCATCTCACCATAAGATTAGGCATCCGTATAGTCTTCATCATATTTGTACAGAATGCTACTCCTAAGAAATTCTGCAGAATCCAGGCATAACTGAAAGACGATATTGAATTTTAAATGAAGATGTAAAGACTTTCTCAATTGGGTAGTGTCTTATCATTTGGCATAAAAAAATTCATAATGGTATTCAACAATTTGGTATTATAATGTTCTCTATTTACCTTGCCTTGCGCTCTATCCCCCACCATACTGAGAGTCCAATACAACACAGTCCCAGAAACAGATTGCTAACTTTTGGTCGTTCTTTGAGTAAGGGTATATTGTTCTCTGGTATCCTGCAAAAATGAGAAATTCTATGTTTTTTTGCTAATCAGACCATTTAACCTGTTTTGAACAGTCTTAAGGATTCCAAATGCACAATGGTGTCATTTGGACAAAGTAACCCTACTATCACACCAAACTAGTTCTCACTACGTTCTCGAAAACAGGCTTCAACTGTGTACGAATGGACTGAATGTACTTAGAACTGTTTGGGATCTATTTACAAACTTCATCGAACGTACATGAACGGGTAGGTCCTCTAGAACTTAGAACATGCTCAAAATGCTCTCGTAGTCGTCACGTTCTACAATTAGAACGAATGACAACGTACTAACGACGTGCTGGACGTACTACGAACAGAACCGTCGTACTTCAATCCTACGAGGGACGTTTTTACAACGAGTTGAACTGCCTGAAGACGTATTGAGAACGATGTAGAACTAATTGCAAATGAGTTTCAACTGATTAAGAACGTATTAAAGACTGCTTATGAACAAGTTAGCAAAAATATAGCTATCACACCAAACAAGTTGCCACTGCGTTCTTCAAAACTGGTTTTAAACTGGGTGCGAACGGAATGAACGTAGCTGCAGGACTATTTATGAACTTCATGAACATTCTCAGACGGAAAAGTGAATTTAGAATTTTGAAATGATTCAAAATTCGATGGCGACCATACCGTTCTGTAATCAGGTCATGATGACCTTCTAGACTAAGGGACGCATTATACGACGTTCCACACCGACGTGGTGCGACCTGAACGAACTGCGAATGGGATGGACGTATTGAAGACTGTTTATGAACGAAGTAGCTAATTATTTTAGACATATTTCCCGACCACAGCCAGATTGAGCCTGTTTTATGACATTTTCATAGGACTGGCAAGAACGGGTAAGAACTAGTTTGGCGTGATAGGGGGGTAAAAGTATGCATATTGTAATTATTCAGGTTTAACAAATATTATTAAACTGAAGAGTTGGTTAAATCATAAATCAATGGCCACATTAAATTGGTATCAGTATCTTTAAAGAAGTCACACATGGAAAATCACTGTCCACTTCAAGAGTATATACAGTACAGTGTCAGCACCATGGTTTAAATAAATACTGCATTCTGATTGGTCAGATGTCAACAACTTACCTGCATTGTATACATGGTATCCTAGCAACAATAGGTTGGAAACAGCTATAAGTGGATATGGAAGTTGCCAAGCAGAACACTCCAATGATCAAATACACTGCAAAAAAAACAATACAAAAACAATGATATTAACATGCAAAATGTCACCACCTGCCCCTGCCATTTGTTACAGATGCTGACCAATGAATGCTGAACACCAACCACCAAATGCTAAACACCAATCACCGAACCACCACTGTCCACGAAAAAGTTGGAAACTATAATAATATGTCGCTCACTTTGAGATTGTTTTCGACATCAGATATATAAAATCAATATTAAAATCAAAATGCTAAGGACTAATTCAAAATCATATATTAGTAAACATTGATATCATTAGTAAAATTGCCACCATACCAAAGTTGACAGTTTGGAACAATATACAACTTACGAATTCATAAAATCCATTCTTATGACAAAATTTGTGACTCAGTATTTTTGTGTAAAAATGATTTCAGAAAGTAGCATTTTGAGCCGGTGTGCATAACTTACCAAGATAATCATAGAAGAAGTATAGAAGTACCAGCATGGCACACATCATAAAAACAAAGAAAATAATCAATTTTGCCGACACATTAAGAGTCTCTTGTTCATCAGGGTCTTCATCTTCACTAGCGCCATCTGGCAAACTGGATTTGCGACCTTTCCTGAGATAACTGAAAAAAACAAAGGGTCAACAAGAATTTACTTAAACACAGAGATCTATTGGACGACACAAGAAATACAATCTTCTAATTTTTGAATGACTTTCTGATGGAATGTTCTTAAAAATTCTTATGGGTGGCGTTCAATGTATCAAATAAATAGTATCATGGGTACTGGGCTCACATGGTGTAGCTCAAAAAGTGAATTCTCTGTGACATTTTGAAAATAGGCAAGCTTTAGGACCAGGAGTCAAAGTTTTTTCCCTATTGAGTTAACAATGGTATATATTATATGTAGTGTCAACTTAGATAAATACTGTTTGTGTCACCATGTATAATGATAAAAAGTAAACAAATATTAAACTATTACCCAAATTGAGAGACTTAAACAAGCTTATGTAAAGCTATTCATCACTAAATCGGTCTTCCAGATGACTTTGACAATATATTCTCAAATGAGTCCCAAAAGATCAGATTGGGTAAAAATTTCCAGACACATGATTTTTGACTGAAATGTGGTATTCCTTGGAGAGGAAGGGGGGGGGGGGGGTGTTTAAATCAAACAGCACCACATTTACTTACTGTTTATGTTTGGTCTTCCCTGACCAGTAGGCGCCTATTATTACAGTACCAGTTGCAAGCACCCAGATGAGAAGCAAGTTGAAGTCTACTCTAGATTCCTCTGGGGCATAGAGCTGCACTGCAATACCAGATCCTAGGCTCTAAAATGCAAACTCAAGATTAAAGGCAGAACCAGATCTAGCAATATACTGATGAGTACTATTGACAAAAATTGTTTCAATCTGAGAATATTTTGGGCTCTTATCACCAATTTAAAATATAGTGTGGATCTTTAGGATATATTATATTTGAGATTGTATGAAATCTATTGGGAGGTCAACTGTACATATTGATTCCAATTTTGTCACCCCCTATAGATCTGATTCTGCCTTTAATACTGGACTTTAAGGCAGAATCAGATCTATAGGGGGTGACAAAATTACAAGCAACGTGCATAATTGACCTACCAATCTATTCCTTACAATATCAAATACAATATCTCCCAAAAGATTCACAATATGTTATAAATTGGTGAAGTTATTAAAGATTCAACGTACAAAAATGGGTGAAAAATGTTTAAATTCTCCCAAATAATAAGAATGGTAACCATTCTTATAGAAAAATAATACATTATTGTAAAAATCTATTGTTTTCCTTGAATAAATCACTTTTGTGATTTTTAGAAGATAGACGTGACAAGGAATGACATGAGCCAAAAATATTCTAAAATTGAAACAATTTTTGTTTAGCCTGCTCGCTATCTCTGATTCTCTCTTTAATATCTAAAAAAGAAGTTTTTCCTCTTTGGAAGTGACAGTCATTTTCGGTTTTTGGAGTACCATAGTAGTAAATTCACCCCTCTAAAAAACATTACCACTAACTATCCCATAGTTGAGCTCATATCTGTATTGCAACATGTAAAAAATATAATGATGATGTTTTGCAAGTGCATGGAAAAAGAGATATCTGTGGAATATTCCACATACATGTATATCATATTTTTTCCACGGATTTGAAAACTACCACCAATGTGACCTGTATTGTTACATGGTGATTTCATGACGTCAAGTGATGAATAAATGAATGAATGTTACTTTGAAATATTTGGTATTATAGTTTTATTGGTGAACTATGGGATAAATAGAACATCCTTGACTTAACCTACCTGTATTTCAGTGAAGTCCTGATAATCTAAGAGGCCAACTGAGATGTTGATCGTATCATAGTCTGATGATGTGTTCCCAGCAGGTGTGGTCTGAAACAATTAGAAAGTGAGTTTCGAAACATACTTTGTGACTGTTATAAGGGTTAGAGTACTTCAAGCAAATGGAAATCATTAATGAAACTCAATATTTGTGGTTAGCGAAATCAAAAGGGTACAGTGTAGTTTCAACAACTTTAGCTGTTAATTGTTAAAAATTCAAATGTTAATTGTACATATATCACTGTACCGGAAATGTCAATTGTGAAGAAGTAAAATTATCAGATGTCCTGAGGTCACTCTGAGGTCAAATCCTTGGCATTTTTTAGCTTGATTTGGGAAAAAACAACTAAAATATTTACTTACTAATATCTGTTTGCTGATAATTATTGCACTTTTCCCCTGGTTATTTTGTATTATGTTGGCCTTCTCTGAGAATGTACAGTTTCCCCTCATAACCATAACTGCCTTGTCTTTAAGCAGCCCTTGGTCTGTAGGCTCACTACATCCTGGACTGGGGGTAAGGTCCAGAAGCGGAAGTTTCTCCTACAATACATAACAAGTATTACGTTGAGGGCTTTCATCAAAATACCAAACAAAATTCCCGGGTCAAAATTACCCTAAATTGAGTCAGTGCAGCTTCACCTTCCCGTTTCACCATCTAAACAAGATAATTTGTAAATGTAGAGGTATTCGATCACAACCTTTTTGCATCACAAACAAAGATATCATTTACATAGCACAGACCATAGGCCCCGGGAACATGTATAAAATAGCGAGTCGACATCTGTATTACTGCTTCTTCTAGTAATACAGATGTCGACTCGCTATTTTATACATGTTACCGGGGCCTATGGCACAGACTGTACAAAAATTGTTCAAATTAGTGTTACTTATCTAACAAATTTAAACAACTTATTTCAACTTCCAGTTTACTTAGCCAATAGTCAGGTCAAAAAGTGATTGGGTTGATCTGGGTGAAATTTGGTATAACATTAATGATTGTTTCAGAAGCACCATACGCATCATAGGATATGTTGCAAGATTTAATTATACTTACCGCATCTTTTGCTGATGTAGCTAATTTTTTGAATTGGGGATTATAAACAATACAAAACTGCTTAGATCCATTGCTGCCTACTGCATTCAGGACACCATAGTCCCCAGATACCTAAAATAAAATTAAAAAATGGTCAGATGATGGGTATAAGCCAATACGCGATAAATTTTTAGTTTAGTTCAGTTTAGTTACCTCATGTTGAAGAGCTCTCATGAGAGGTACAACTTCGTCTACATCCGGGTTCTTTCTCATTGGATTACACAGGAGTGCGATTTTCAATGCCGCACTGCGGCTTTATTGAACATTTATGTAGTGTTGCATTTGCACAAATGAATTAAGATATACAACAAGGCTTTTTGAACTATAATCCCCAAATCCGAAGAAATCTTTAGTTGGAAATGCCGTCCAATTCCAGTGATGTCACTGATTTCCCACAAATTGCTCAGACGCCATTGAAGATCGAAAAAATATAAATAATGTAACTTTGAATCTCCAGTTATCTTTCTGATTATTGAATAGATTGGATCATGTAACTATGCTCAAGCGCTGGTGGAATATCTGAGGCTGAGAAACTGTAATTTTTGTCAAGATTCACGCTAGTTTTATCAGAATTTGTTGAAATTTTGTTCTAGCAATCTTCCGCCAATATAATGCTATACATACGCTATGATGTAATCCTCGACCAATGAAATTAGCGGAGCGTGACCTTTGACTTTGCAATTTCCGGACGTTTCGTTCAGAGTCATCGACTTGTTCGTCGGGCCAATGAAAATTTGTCCCTTCCAAAGCGATGCATCATGGGAGATATTTATCTAAATTACCATCTGAACTCTTATTGCGAATATGTCTATTCATTGAGAAGAGCGTTATTTCTGTGTTTAGTGAATACTTGAACAGATTGAAGTTTTATAAGTTTTCTCTTCAAAATTTAATTTTCTAGAAAACGATGGATAAAGTTGACACAACCGTATCAGCTTTGTTTTATCGACCATGAAGTAAAAGCACATTATCTAATAGAAAGAAGTGTAACTAGTTTTTTTGACTTTCCATTTTCTCAACTACATGTTGACTTCTGTGAAGACGTCAGTAACTATCACGAAATGTAGTTTGTTGACGGTCAATTGTTAAAAGGCGTTTCATTTGGAAACAAATATCCAAATTCTAAGAATCGACAAATGCTAACACCTTCTACAAGGCTCTGAGGTCTGGCCTAGAGTATATCCTAGTCTAAAATTTTTTTGAAATTTGGAATGAAAATATTCAGACTATAGCCCACATATGTTAAAACATGGGATTAAAAATGATTTGTTTACATAGGAAGTGCCATTCAAAATGGCCGATTGGGTAAATTAATTTGCATATTTGTTACTTCTCCTAGCTTTATTTCCATTTGACAATATGCTGTGTTACTTTTTATAGCATTTAATTGTACCTTACTACTTAATTGAATTGTTATAATGCTTATTTTTTGGAAGTGAAGTTTCCTAAAATTGATAATTGTGTGCTTGAAATTTCCTGTTTTTTCCCACAGGAGAGACATAATGATCAATATACTGAATTCTCAGGAAGTTCAGTCTATTGGATATAGACTAAGGTCTGGCCCTAGATCGAGACCCTATCTGTTGCAAGACTAACGCCTGGCGTAACCGTCACCATGTTATTTAGTGTTTTTAAGTAGCGCAAGGATCCTGCCATGACCGTGGTAATGTTATCGTGAAAGCCTGGTATAACCGTGACAATGCTGTATTATATTGCAATGCCTGCCATGACCGTGGAAATGTAATATAGTTCTGCAAGGCTTGGCATGACCGTGACAATATAATATAGTACTGCAAGGCCTGGCATGACCGTGACAATGTTATATAGTTCTGCAAGGCCTGGCATGACCCTGACAATGTATTATGGGATAGCAAAGCCTGGTATGACCATGACAATGTAATATAGTATTGCAAGGCCAGGTATGAGGGTGGTTATGTAGAAATTTAGGCTTAGTCCTACTATGACCGTTATAATGTATTGCAATGACTGGTAAATATGTATGACATTAATGCCAGGAATATCCTTAACAATTTTAAGTGATCGTCATTACAATTAAACAGTTTAATACTATGATCATGGTTTTTAACTACCTTAATCATGTCAAAATCAAAATTACTACTATACATTAATATTCACATTTCCTTATAAACCACAATAAAGGCTACGGTCGCGCCAGGCTTCCACGATAACATATCCAGGGTCATGACAGGCCTAAAATGTGAATATAATACAGCATTGTCACGGTTATATCAGCCTGTCACGGTTATACCAGGCTTACACGATAACACTACCACGGTCATGGCAGGATCCTTGCGCTACTTAAAAACACTGATTAACATGGCGACGGCTGTGGCAGCCGTAAGTCTTGCAATAGATAGCATGTGCCTAGATCTGTGACATTTCACATTCAGGAAGTAGATAACTGGGCCAGGCAGGTTTGGTTATGGATCTAGTCTAGTTGGTTATGGAACTATTCTTGACCAGACTAAGCTACATCAAGGCCTTGATGATGATGGTAAAAAAAAAGAAAAGTAAAATCATCGAACTTTATCTTTCATTTCATCCAAAACCACTGGGTATGTAAATAGCTCTCTTCGTCCAAAACACATGTAACAAGAGTGCATTCTACGTTTGTATTGCAAATATGGAGAAAACTGTACTGTACCTGAGTATGATAAAGAAAAGTGGAGAGAAAACTCAAGGAAGTAGCAAAATATTTCATTCTCGTTTGTCTTTACGAGACTGAGATTTGGAACGAGATTTAAAAATGTCACAGGTTTGTTTTGAACATTTTCGTTTATAGACACTTTGTTTGGTATATAACGGTGCAATGGAATCGTTAAGGTCCATACGTGATGTATCAACATCTAGAGTAAACAAATGATATAGAATCTTGTGGATCTTTGTTTTGTTTATCGCTTTTCAGTTCGTTCAAATGTCGGCATTTTAGCCTAATTTTCACATATTATCGCCCAGTCAGATTCAAATTTGATACAAAGATTGACAACAACAACAATTTCTTATCAACAACACAGCAAAAGAAATTTTCTATTCAATGGATTACTGTATTCATCCTTAATTTGGTGCTACTTGATTTGTTGATTTTGAGATATCGGATTGATTGATACTTTTCCAAAGCGTTTGACACGGTGGCTCACGAACGCCTCTTGCTCAAACTCGACTATTATGGAATTTGCAATAATAACTTGAACTGGTTCAGATCCTGGCTTGTGGGAAGATCACAACAGGTAGTGCTCGATGGCGAATCAAGTTCAAAAACTCCAGTAAAATCAGGAGTTCCTCAAGGAACAGTTCTTGGACCACTCTGTTTCCTTGTTTATATCAATGATATGGGCAATAACCTATCATCCTCAGCCAGTCTTAAGCTATTTGCTGACGACAGCCTTTTATTCATGACAGTCGAAACCAAGCAAGATGCATTAACACTACAGGAGAATCTTGATAAACTGGTCTCCTGGGCATCAACATGGCAAATGAAATTCCATCCATCAAAATGCTATGTGCTAAATATTCACAAAGGTAAATTAAGAAATATAGACCAAAGAGCAGGGTTTCTAGTTTCGAATAACACCCAGCTGGTCTCGGCACAAACGTTTTCTGTACCCCGAACGACCGAAGGGAGTGAGGGGTTCGAAAGCTTTAACTGGGTGATTGATCTCGAATATAACCCAGCTGAAGCATTGACTTTGTTTACAGTTTATAGAAGGCGTGAATACAGTCATGTTCGAATCCCCTATCATTCACAATTACACCATGCTAGGGGAAAACCTTAAGTCGGTAACACACATCCCATACCTAGGTATTGACATCACAAATAACTTACGCTGGACTACACATATTCAAACTATTGTATCCAAAGCCAATAAGGTGCTTGGATTCCTCAGGCGCAACCTCCATCAATGCCCTGAAAAAGTGAAGGCTCAGGCGTACAAGTCACTAGTCCGGCCTAATATAGAGTATGCCAGCTCGGCATGGGATCCATACCGACAAAAAGATATTGATATGTTGGAACAGGTACAGAGAAGAGCAGCTAGGTTTGTAACCAAATGTCACTCGAGGGAACCAGGCTGCGTCACCAAAGCTCTTCAAGACCTACAGTGGGAGCCACTGAAGGAGCGTCGAGAGGCTGCTAGAGTTTTCCTCTTCTACAAAGGAAAGCAGAACCTAGCAGCCATCCACGTGCCTCCATACTTCCGCCAACAGATCAATACCAACACTAGCTTGTATCATCCTTCTAAGTTATACAACCATCAACTAGAACAGATGCATACAAATTTAGCTATTTCCCTAGGACAATAGCTAAATGGAACACTCTACCTGGTGACATCTTAGACTGTGACAGTCTAAGTAGTTTTAAATCATCATACTATGCCTATGTCAATAACTGCAATTAAATAGGTGTGTTTTTAATATAGATCTATGTTTTAATGTAAAAGGTCCCCAGTGCACAGCAACAAGCCTGCACTACTGGTAAAGAGGGGTGATGTCAACGCGGTAGCCTGACAGTCGCCCCAGGGTATTTCAACATAGTTGTAAACCATAGATCTATTTTTAAATGTTAAGGTTTTAAATCATATTCTATTCAAATTCTATCACTGTTAAATTATATATCTGCTTTATATGGGCTTATTAGCCTTTTGCAGATTATTGACATAGACATAGATTTTTGTCTATTCGATTTGGCGGTTTTTCGATTCTGCAATCAAACCTCGGGAGATTTTTACAGAAATCATGCTAGAAACAGAAGTTCTCATTTGTTCTCAATGTCAAAATAACTCTATTTTTTAAGTCGAAGTAATCCCTCTCGTTGACATTAGCACATTACGCCTTTCACGTCACACATTTTATATATTGTTACAGCAAATGCACAAGGGCGGTGGTGACCATCGTGATGGAGATAAGGAGAAAAAGAAGAAGGAAACAATTTTAGATCTGACAAGACTTCTAGATAAACAAATCAGAGTGAAGTTTAGCGGAGGAAGAGAAGGTAAGATACAGTGTATTTTATACTCTCAATTGTTTCATTGGATATTTTACAGCTGTTAAATTTCATATATTAGGGAGAGTACTTATAGGTTTTCAATTCAAATGGGAACAATGTTATTTCCAAAATCTCAAGCGGATCTCTTGAAAGCCCATGTTCCATCCTAGTAACAAGGTCAATTATTACTACTTGGCCAGGTCTATTCAGAACGTAATAAATATACCATTTGCTATTTGGTTAATTTAATTGAGAAAATTGAATTTAACTTACACAACAAATATTGGAATATCTGTTTTCTTCTTCAGCTAGTGGTATGCTAAAGGGCTTTGACCCATTGCTGAATCTTGTGTTAGATGGATGCACAGAATATCTCAGAGGTAAATTATTGTTCCTATATTTGTTATCACTTTGATCAAGTTGCAAACAAAAATATTGTTGAAAATGGTACCAAACGATGGGTTCACATAGACTAGTGAAAAAATGGTCTTAATAGTATTAATTAACAGTAACATGAATATGAGCATTAATTCAGAAAAATTGAAGTTTTCATTTGTCTGAAAATTGTTGATGGATGGAAATTTTGAAGGACGGATAGATGAATGGGTGATTCCATGTGAGCCAAAAATCAAACCAAAATTTCGCCCATCATAATGTGAATGTTTTCTATTTTTATGTCACCACCACAAGTGGTTAGTCTCCAACTTGAGTTCGGTGGCAGGTGGTGACATTTTACATGTTAATGCCCTATAATTATAACATGAATATGAGTTTAACATTTAAATCCATTTTGTTATTTCAGATCCTGATGATCCATACAAACTGACAGAAGATCGTCGTCAGCTTGGTCTAGTTGTATGTAGGGGAACCTCTGTTGTGCTGATATGTCCAGCAGACGGTATGGAGGCCATAGCAAATCCTTTTGTACCCCAGGATGGATAGCACTGACTTAATCCCACAGTTCATTTACACAATCAGGATCTATAGGAGCCTCTTATATTATAATGTACATCAGACATTCCTTGAGAACAGTTGGGAAATCAACACTATTATTAGGAACACCTAACATTTGAGATTCCCATTCCCACTACTATTAGGAACTACGATATACATTTATTTGGACTTTATTATCAGGAACTCATACTATGTGGAATTACTAAAATAAGTCTAATGTCAGGAATCACATTACATGTACTTTAATCTTTGAGTATGTCAGGAAAATGCCTAAAAATGAGGTGTATCTATTACAGCTCATATCAGTATTTCATTATACAAGGAATCAGATTAGGATATTGATATACATATCGTACAGTGTTCATATAGACGTTATGATAAGGGGCAGGAAAAATAACAATGTGTTGATTTTTTGCTAAATTGAATGTTCTGGGGTAAGGGGGGGGGGGGTAACTAACAGAGGCTTGTAGCTAGACTAATGATTTTCTAAATTTACTTTTAAAGGGGAAGATACTACATAGTAATGGTTGCCATATCTTTTTGATCTGAAGTTCCGTAGTGACTATTGTAAGCAACAGATCTAAGTCTACAAGTGTATGTATATACTCATATCATGGTCATCATTTTTCATAATAAAATATGGAAACCAAAACAAGTCTTATTTTATTGTTATTTTCAGAATATTTGCCATTATCTTGGGACCTTTCACTTTCAACTCATAAATCAAAAGTCCATGTTTTTAAAAAGTGGTAATAAATGTTTTCAAAAAGGCCTAGTTTTGCCTTCAAAAATGACCTCAATTTTTAAAATGGCTTTTCTTGAAAAATTTGTGTTGGACTGTTGATGTTTGAAAAAGGGCCCAAAGTCTAACCCAAAAAGTCAAGATTTTTTGGCCCCTTTACCAATGTCAAGTTTACCCCTGGACCTGTGAACAATTTATCTTATATACATAAACAAAATTCATTCTGGCTGTCCCAGACAACTTTGTACCTGATGATTGCAGTGGTAGTAAATTATTTTGGCAGTGTACATGTGGGTTATATTTATGCCATGTGGCAATAGCTTACTCGAGTCTCTACCCAATTCTCAGTGGCCATAGACTATGGTAAGCAATAGCATAATTGTGTTTTGACTGGAGAATGTGCTTTTCATTTGGTTTATTACAATGGCCATCTGAGGTGTTAAAGGGTGGAATGAAGAGCATTCCTTTTGTCCATATTTCATTAGGCAGGACCATGGCAGGACTATACCGACTCTAATACAATTTAACTTCTTAGAGATCTTGATTGTTTTTAACCAAACATGATAAATCCCCAAAATTGTATTGGGCTACTGATTGACTGGTCCACAAAAAGGAAGTAGAGACCAGGAAGTAGGGTACGTTTTGTTTCACCTATTACTAGCTGTTTACTACAATAATATCTGAATGTGGGAAATCTAAACAATAAAATCAACAAATAGGACTAGGTTTCAAGTCTATAAGTTGCAAATTACGGTGGAAGAAATACTGTATAAGTCACTAAAAAGGCAAGTAAAGTTAGCTGAAGATTTATAACGAGTTACAACTTCCTTCCGTTCCAGTGGTTACAAAACTAAACAAAACTGGCTCTTTCGGCATCAAACACTCTGTAAGTTTTGATCACTTGTTCTGCACTAATTTTCACAAATTTATATATAAATCTGTTAAATATATACCAATATATTAAAATCATCAATAATTAATAAGATCTGTGTTTTTGACATAGTTGAAAGTCAATGGGAACTTGCATCATCTTTTTGAAATTTTATTACAGTCAAAACCACAGTCAGAGAGAATGTTTCTGGCGAAATTCGGGGACTTCAAATACTTTTAAGTTGGGAAACCGGAAGTGCTTACCTTTTTTAATTCCCGAATCTCTCCGAAATTAGCTCATCTTGGTGACTGTAAATTGCACAGCTGTATTCAATGGAGTCTTGTCATATTCGATCAGCCTCAATTTTAAAGTGTATATTTTATTTTCAACGTGATTTCATCGTTTTTTGTCGACTGGTAACAATCCGCGGGGCTAATGGCAAGATGGATGACTTTTGACCTGACCTTGACCGATGGTGATCACGTCATCAATATTACCAAGATGGCGGTTTCAAAATTTTCTAAAATCGCTTCAAATAATATTATGTTAATTCCTAGCGAGTAAAGATATCTCTTAGTTTGCTATTTCACAATAAGATAACGAAATGTGTAAGGAATTCGTATTTATCAATTAAAACATCACATCGACATTTGGTATTCGTAAACTAGACGATGAAGATAACGACCTCGAAAAAAAACAAAAGAGCGAGTACGGGATTCGAACCCGGGCCTCCAGCGGGCTAAGCGAGGATTCTCCCCCTAGACCACCGATATATTACATATGGTATTGGGATTTAAACGCTACTTATTTTGAATGCTATGATTCGGCAGTGACGTCACGTTCTTCACGTTTTGTTTGAGAGCGAGAACGAGACGTGCCAGAAGCCCGGCTTTTTTGTCAGTCGACCTGTTCAAAGTACATTTAGTTATAATTATCGCTTTCCAGAACAATTTAGGAATCAATATTTTCTATCTACATCGATTACAAAGCATCTAAGGTACGTAAATTTATATGAACAACTGAGTCAATAGGGATAAATAGCCCAACGAGAGTCGGCGGTCTTAAAAAATACTTGGATCTGGATGCCAGTCCTGGTATATATAGCAGGCCTGTCAACTGTCCCGTAATTTGCGTATTTGTCACGCATTTGCTGAAGAATTTGAAGTCACGCCAGTTTTTTTTGCGTGACAGAAAATGTCACGCAAAATACGCATTTTACCTGGTAATTGTCAAGCAAAAATGTTTCTGTAGAAATTTTTTCGAAATATGTTTACGATACGGTAAAAATACGAACGCCGGGAAAAACCGAACGCAATTTGTTCGGATTTGTCACGCGAATCCCGTATGTGTCACGCATGTTCATTGGAAATTCTTCGTACTTCAACTTTTGTATATTTTAGTTTGTTTTCTAGTTTAGCTTCATATCTGTGTCCTCTTATATTTGTATTTTGATACTTCTCTGCCATGTTATTTTCGGAAAGATTAACATGGCTGAAACTCCCTAAATTACAAAAGGCCACAACTTTGCTGCACATTATACATTACTATCTGAAATATACAAAAGTTAGGATAAATATAAATGTTTCTAATTTTACATGAACGGTTTCAATTTGGTCTTTTGATTGCTTATTTTTTAAATTCAAAGTACTCCCAAACATTACTGTTTTGACTGTAGTCTAGAGTATAGGTGCACACCCACCATAGTGGGAAGTTCTCCATATATATACTGAATATTCGCAACCTATAGACTGAGACTAACATAGATAACATGGGGGCTTCTTTTCACTATGTGCACACTGCACAACAGATACACATACATGTACTATCATCTCAGTCTCCAGTAGTACCAATTACCTTACCTTCTTCTAGGGCCTTCATGTATATCTTGGCCTTTGTCCAAAGATAAATCCATGCATATTTCTACTGCTGTATACGGGTCATGTCGTAATCATTAAATTTGAAATCAAATGTTCGCCATTTTTTCACATCACAATTCGAATTGCGAGTTTTGGTCTTATTACCTCACCAAAAATTTCAAAACACACATAAGTGATCAATGTATTAGTTCACACCTTCTGGATCGCTAACTTAGAATTTACAGCCAGTTACTAATGTTGGAGCCATTTATTTTAATTTTAAGCTAAATCCTGATGAAATCATGCAATATCTCATCAAGGAGCCCAGCCAGTTCCATTTTAATTCATGATTTATTTATCTGGCGATTTTTAAAATGTTTAATAAATTTATAACACGACAGTCAGCTTTTTTCAAATGGTTCACGGTGTTCCAGATGAAATTACTTCTTGCCAAGAATTGGCTAGAGACTCGAGTAACAATTACCCAGATGTCCCATTATATCTCATTCTATGGTACCATGGATAAACTAGGTAAAATGCCTATGGATAGTACACATTTTCTGTCTTGGCGTGGTATCTGAAAATATTGTTGGTTTATTTCATCAGAGCAAGCCACTTTAAGTTTAATTCTTTTCTTTATTTTGAATAAACTTTCTCGTATCTGTTACAGTGTACATGTATGTGTCATGGTTACTATTTAAAATTAGAAACTGTCAAGAGTATATAAGTGAACTGAATGTTCTTTAAATATTTTATCAATGTCAAAACTGTTGTAAAGTTAACACTTACATTTTACCCTTACAAATAGTCCCATGAATTATTTGTATTTGTTGACCATTTTCTATCGAGCATCGAAATATTAACCACAATTGGTATGGTAACATTACCATATTTGGAAAGAATTGCATTGAAACATTTTTAAGACTTTTGAGAATTTTGAATGGTCTTATTTTTTGGTTAAAAAATTGAGCCTTGAGAAATTACAGTATATTTATTATATCGTATGTTATGACTAGTCTATGGTTACAATGGGCAGATGTGTGACTCACACGACATGTGTTAACTTGATAACATATTGACTGTTAAAAGCAGTACAAATAATGAAACTTTATTCTAATGATAGAAGGTACGGATTATATACATCATATGAATTTAGGAGCCTAGTGGAAATATCATATTGACAAAAATAAGATAAATGCTTTAGGATTTGAAAAAATTGAGAATTTTTTTGTTTCATAACCCTTTTTTCATGCTGCTGTTGTAGGCTATTGAGAGCGAGGCTGCTACAAGTTGCAGTTATAACTCAGTTCATCAGGCCACTGTTCGGTATGGGAGACATGCAAGCTAAAATGACAATGGTGGCAGAAGAAGATGCTTTGCCAGGTCAGGAGATAATTCACTTTATGTTAACATATGGCAGAAACATTAAGCTTCCAGTGAAGGTTATCTTTGTACTGGAGTTTTTTAGATTTCTTTTTAAAGCTTAAAACCTCCCTCGAGTTTCAGGGATCCATTTTAGTTATAACCTGTATCAGATAGTTCTTAAGGTAGTTTTGAGGAATTGAATAATTTTGAAATAGCAAACACAAATATGGTTTATGAGATATCATGTTTATGAAAGGTTAAACGTGAATGAGTGCTATACACCTTGCAGGCTTGCATTGATACAAAAAAAATCGGGATTCAATGTAAACAAAATATCAAAAACTCTCTAGCTCAAGTAATTTGTACTTTCCACCATGTGAGTCCATTTTAGAGAAATAATGAATAAATTTTTTTTCTAGGTCGAGCAGAGCGGATCATTGTATCAGACAAAAGCACTGTTAATGGTAACAGAGTGGTACCTCCATTCCCTCCAAATATGCAGTTTGCTCAATTTGGTAAGTCAATATTATATATTTTGGAAGTGAACTTAAGTGATTAAAGGCCCCATGTAAAGTTGAAAAAAATAATTTGCATGTATAAGCCTAAGTGTTTTAAACTTTATATGGGGCCTTGAAGTGATGAAAATCCTGTCGTTAATATTAAGATTGCTCTACTGTAATGCAAACAATCGGTTTTAGAACTGATACCAGAGTAATAAGTACATATTAATCCAATGTTTAGGGCATTCTCCCATTTTTTCCTTATTAATCCAAGCATAGCACTGTTGACATAGGAAGAATACCCTATGCAGACAGAGCCTGTAGGAAATATTGGGTGTGGCGCAAATGAGCGGAGGGTGCGGAGCTAACGGTCATTTTTGAATTTAAAATTGGGATATTTCTGAAACTAAGCCGTTTTGGGACTTCAAATATACCAAGATATGTGTATTTGACACCAAATATCAATAAAATTGTGAAAATAGTAGTGCAATTCATTTAATAGCGACGCAGTATGCCTTAAACATTTCCCAGACCTATATATTTTGAGACTATCCTTTTAATACTGCGTCCCCAGCATTCATAAAAAATGGTGTTCAAGATACACTACCCATGCAAATTATTTTTGCATCTTGGAAGTCAGGCAGTATCTGTGTGATTTTATAAAAATTCGGAAATGTTCTTCAGATATGAGCCCCCTCTAAATATTGGGTGCGGAGGTATGTTTATGGAGCTCCTCCGCACCCAATATTTAGAGGGGGCTCATATCTGAAAAACATTTCCGAATTTTTATAAAATCACACAGATACTGCCTGGCTTCCAAGATGCAAAAATAATTTGTATAGATAGTGTACCTTGAACACCATTTTTTATGAATGCTGGGGACTCAGTATTAAAAGGATAATTTCAAAATATATAGGTCTGGGAAAGGTTTAAGGCACACTGCGTCGCTATAGAATGAATTGGGCTACTATTTTCACAATTGTATTGATATTTGGTGTCAAATACACATATCTTGGTATATTTGAAGTCCCAAAACGGCTAGCTTAGTTTCAGAAATATCCCAAATTTAAATACAAAAATGACCGTTAGCTCCGCACCCTCCGCTCATTTGCTCTGCACCCAATATTTCCCACAGGCTCTGTCTGCATAGGGTGATAAAGGTACATCTTCATGAACAAATTTTGTAACATTATCATAGCACATACTATAGATATCAGCAGATCAGCTGTACTTGAACTACATATTTTACTTAGGTACACATAATTTTAAGGTAATATTTTCCATTGTTGATTATCACACATATTCTTGGATCTTCTAAAAGCTTTTTTGCCCATTCACATAAGAGGCTGTTGATGAACTCGTAGCTGAGACTCGTAGCTGAGACATATATTCGAACATGACTGTATTCACTCCTTCTATAAACTGTAAACAAAGTCAATGCTTCAGCTGGGTTATATTCGAGATCAAATCCCCGGCTCTGTACTAAGTGTTTCGTTCAGTGCACTCATTGGTCAGTTTAGGCTGTTCCATTCTTTTCGCATCCCCCTCTCGCCTGCAAAATTCAAAATGGCAGGGAGAAATTGTCCGGAGCCAAAATTTTTTTTCGGAGCATTTGTAAATGTAATCTAAATAATTTCAATAATTATCAATGTAGTAGATATGCGTGAAACCAATAAAATAGACCGAAATGTCAATGAAAAACTTAAGTCGGGGTCAGGAGGTAAGTAAACAAATTGGAACAGCCAAAAGCTCAACCGGAAGAAGAAATGAAAAAAATGGAAATGAACTTCGAAATTGATGATTTTACAATATTCTGGTGAGTTTTCATGTTCGAATTGTAATATAGACCTCAGAGCAGGGCTACTAGTTTCGAATACACCCCTAAGGTCTAGGCACAAAAGCTTTCGAACAGAAAACGTTTGTGCCTAGACCCTGTGGGGTGTATTCGAAACTAGTAGCCCTGCTCTTCGGTCTATATTTCTTAACTAATTCTTCAAAGTATTGAATTTTATTTTTCACAAAAATCCAATGTATTTCATGCTTGTCTACTAGCACTCATCCTTAAATGAATAACACACATCTGTTTTGTTTCCAGCTAAAAAATGATTTTGGGAATAAGTTGAATATTTTGCTTTCAGCTATGGGCTGTTTTTGGGGAGCGGAGAAGAGATTCTGGAGTCTACCAGGTGTATATTCTACTCAGGTATGATTTTGATTTATATCATTCAACAGGCCCATAGCCAGGATTTGCCAAGGGGGGGGGGTTCAGTTTTGAAGAATTTCCAGGGGGGTTCACATTTGACAATTTTGGCCCAAATATGCTCAAAATGGTGAAAAACTGCATGATTTGGGGTTGATTCCCCATAGAGCCCATGTTACAAAATCACAAAAAGTGAAATATCTTATCTTGTTTTAGGCAGATAATAATTTCTTTCTCTTGACAGCATATTTTCATTTATCTGAAATCCAATTGTAGCAGTCCCAAGTATTGTTTTCATATTTTTAAAAGATGTCAGTCCAAAAAACCAATTGAATGCTACATGTATATGAGGTGAGACCAGGTATGAATTAATCTCATGCTCATGTATAGAGGGTGCATTAAAGTTACAATTTAATTTTGTTTTATTTTTGCACTATTATTTCTTTTCATCAACTTCATAACTTTTTCAAATGAGATATTACTGTGTGTAGAAATGAAACCAATCATTTATCCAGTGGTAACAAAACTCATATCAAAGAATATAAAACAGTAATTTAAAATTGTGTAATAAAACAAAATGAGTTTAATATGTTCTTGATATGATATTATAATCATTGAAGTGATAAATTATGAAATGAAGAGAATAGTATAAAACGTGATGTATCAATTTAATGTATCAATTATAAATTAATATGGAATCAATAAAGTTCCTGCATATTATTCACAACTACTAGGTATAAACATAGAATTGCGTTGTCAAGATCTGGGAGCATGAGACATGATCAAGATGCCTTCATATATCGATCAATTTGTTCAATATTTTTGAGGTATTTTTGGGATATGTGACTTTTCTGGCTCATTATTATTCAGGTTTCATTCAGTATTAAACCTAATATCTCCCAGCCATGTTTAGCGCAGGTATAGTAATCAGAGGTTAGCTTGACATTCAATAAATAGAACACGGGGATAATTACATAAGCATACTGACTCAATTTTTATCGCACCGTTTATCGCAAACCGTTTGAGGGATTCATTTGAAATTCTCAGGGATGTTTCTACCTATGAAAGGTTAGAACTGATTAGTTTTTCGGCATTCTGGGTAAATGTTAAGGCGGCCATTTGGGATTTTCCATCCTAAAATCTGGTCTGTCAAGGCTTGTCTACAGGTTTCCAGCCAAACTGTTTGAGGGATTCATTTGAAATACTCAGGGATGTTTCTACCTATGAAAGTTTAGAACTGATTAGTTTTTCGGCATTCTGGGTAAATGTTAAGGCGGCCATTTTGGATTTTCCGTCCTAAAATCTTGTCTTTCAAGGCTTGTCTACAGGTTTCCAGCCAAATCGTTTGAGGGATTCATTTGAAATTCTCAGAGATGTTTCTACCTATGAAAGTTTAGAACTGATTAGTTTTTCGGCATTCTGAGTAAATGTTAAGGTGGCCATTTTGGATTTTCCGTCCTAAAATCTTGTCTGCTTGTCCAGCTTGTCTACAGGTTTCCAGCCAAACCGTTCGAGGGATTCATTTGAAATTCTCAGGGATGTTTCTACCTTTGAAAGTTTAGAACCGATTAGTTTTTAGGCATTCTGGGTAAATGTTCCTAAAATCTTGTCTGTCAAGGCTTGTCTACAGGTTTCCAGCCAAACTGTTTGAGGGATTCATTTGAAATTCTCAGGGATGTTTCTACCTATGAAAGTTAAGAACTGATTAGTTTTTCGGCATTCTGGGTAAATGTTAAGGCGTCCATTTTGGATTTTCCGTCCTAAAATCTTGTCTGTCAAGGCTTGTCTACAGGTTTCCAGCCAATCCATTTGAGGGATTCATTTGAAATTCTCACGGATGTTTCTACCTGTAAAAGTTTTAGAAAACTGATTAGTTTTTCGGCATTCTTGGTAAATGTTAAGGCAGCTCAGGGATGTTTCTACCTATGAAAGTTTAGAACTTATTAGTTTTTCAATATTCTGGATAAATGTTAAGACTTTTTCCGTCCTAAAATCTTGTCTGTCAAGGCTTGTCTTCAGGTTTCCAGCCAAACCGTTTGAGGGATTCATTTGAAATTCTCAGGGATGTTTCTACCTGTAAAAGTTTTAGAAAACTGATTAGCTTTTCGGCATTCTTGGTAAATGTTAAGGCAGCCATTTTGGATTTTTCGTCCTAAAATCGTGTCTGTGGAGGCTTATTGTTTTAAAAAATAAAAAAGAATTTCCCATTGAGAGCAATGTTAAATTAAAACATTTTTTTAGAAATAACTAAACGGTCAATCTTTCCAATTTTCACATATTTTTAATACATCAGTATATCTTTTACCAGGATTTTTTTCGGGAAAATCTGAATTGTAGAAAAAAAAGCTGAAACACTGTGAAGTAATACCTTAAAACGTGTATTTTGAGGGTTGTTTACAGGTTTCATGGATTCATCCTAAAATTTTAGAGATGTTTCTATGGAAAGTTTAGAACTGATTAGTTTTTAGGCAGTCTGGGTAAATGTTAAGGTGGCCATTTTGAAATTTCCATCCCGAAAAGTGTATTCTGTTCAAAGGTGCGGTTCTGTTCACCCTGTGGCTTGTTGGGAGTTTCATTCAGTATTAAACCTAATATCTCCCAGCCATGTTTAGCGTAGGTATAGTAATCAGAGCTGTTAGCTTGACATTCAATAAATAGAACATGGGGATAATTACATATGCATACAATTTTTGATATTTAGTTCACACCCATGGTATATGGAGCTTGTGATTATGGACTGGTGTGGTGCAAAGAGCTTGACTGCCAGTCTTCTCTAGGAGACGATCAAACTTTACGATACAAGTGAATTTTTTAAACTAAACAAGTAATAATTATAGGATGAAAATGAATTTCTTCCTTGAAACTGGACATAATACTCCTGCATTCTTTCAAGTTTACATCTTGACCATACCAGTCATATATCACAAGCTCTGTATAGCAAGTGTGGGAAATGTCACTGAGTACTTATTGATAAATTTGATACTATTCCTGTTTGTAATTCAAAGTGCCAATATATCATCCCCGAGCATATGTTTAGCTCTCTATGTCAAGCCGACTAAAATCATTGATGTATTTATTGATTTCATATTAGGTGCTCATCGTCTGCCAGGTACATTTTCAGAAAAATATTATTACTATGGTTACTTGTATTTTTTCTAAAAGATGAGGTAGCACCTTAGTTCTGCACGTGCAATCATGCTTTTTCTTCTGATAAATAGAAATACGTATATATATTTTTTGCCAAACGTCCATATTTGGGAATATGTTATGTAGTTGCATTTTGTTCAGACTGTTATATGTAATCACATTCTGTTGATAAAAGTACATGTAGTAGGTATCTATATTGATGAAATTGATATCTACTCACGTATATGGAGATCATCCTATATGAGGTTCAGGATATTGGGATTATCCTATGGCCATTGATTGGGTACACCCCAGTTGTCCGAAACCCAGTTCTCCGAAACCCAGTTCTCCGAAATCCAGTTGTCCTAAACCCATTACTCCGAAAAATATAGTCATAATTTACCAGAGAAAGGGGGGACGTACTTAGGCTTAGGCCAGTTCCATGCCATGTATTTGACCAAATTAATGGCATGGACGCATTCTGATGTTCATAGATCTCACACTTTGAATTGCATCCATTGTATGGCGTTACCAGAATGGCAGGAACGGTGGATTTATTTTACATCGAGATTCTAAAAAGGTTATCAAAACACAATATATATTACGGAACAGTTCATCTATCTTCTTCAATCTCTTTTGTATAGGCAAAATAAAATGAAACATTTTGAAACAGATAAAATAAGTTAAAGCATAGAACTTTAAGAATAAAACAGCATACATTTTCGTATCAAAATGGATATTCTCCCATTCGCAAGAAGTTTCATTTTTGGCATGTACTCACTTCATCCTTTTGAATTTAATCTCTATTTCTCGAATAGAGTACGTAAGTTTCAAAAGATGTACATGTCAACTTTACTAAATAAATGCCCACTGGCTTGGGAAAGCTATTTTCCCTTTTATGAACGCCCATCAACCATTGGAAAAAATGTTGTTCCTTCTCAAAAAAGGCCCATGGCCATAAAGGAAATTGGTGTAAAAATTGTAAACCCCTATGTATGTTATGTAAACGCCAATTTGCAATGGGAATAACATAATTTAACTTTGTTTGGACATCGATATCGATATATGCCCTTGTACTTTCATCTTTTGACAGTTTTTATTAAATACCAGCCCATAAAGGAATCGTTCAGTTGATGAAATTTACTCTCAAATACACCCTTTACCAATGAAAAAGTGTTGTTCATAAAGCTGTAAGCTGTAATTTTCGGAGAACTGGGTTTCGGACAACTTTCTCGAGTACTATTCGTAGACTTGACTTTATATTGTATCATGCAACCAACTTTAATTGCAATATGTCTATGTATTTTCAGGTAGGCTATTCTGGGGGTTATACCCCCAACCCTACATATGAAGAAGTTTGTGGTGGAAAAACTGGCCATACAGAGATTGTACGTGTTGTATATGATCCCGAAAACCTTCAGTACGGAACTCTTTTAAAATTATTTTGGGAGAGCCATGACCCTACCCAAGGTATGCGACAAGGTAACGATATGGGGTCTCAGTACCGATCAGCAGCCTACTGGTACACCGAAGACCAGAAAGCAGAACTTCTGGAATCTAGAGACAATTTCCAAAAGGAATTGAATAAACTAGGATATGGAGAGATAACTACGGAAATTAGAAAAGCCCCAGAATTTTATTATGCAGAGGACTATCACCAGCAATATCTGCAAAAAGTACCCAATGGTTACTGTGGTTTATCTGGAACTGGTGCCTCATGCCCCATAGGGATTAAAAAATCAAGTCCCGCAAATGGTTATAAGCCAGATAATAGTGAATTATAACAGCTGTGATATATAAGGGTTATGTACTGGGAGGTTTTGGATATGGGGTTTATCCAGAGGGAGATATGCATATCTACCTGAGGGACCGTAGGGAACGAAGGTAGATGTGCATATCTCACGAGGGATGAACCCAAATATCCAAACCGGTAGCTCCAAACCGACCGTACATAACTGCTTTATCCTATACCAAGTAGAGTTTTCAGGGACATATGGCCATTTCAATAGTAAAAATAAACAAATCATTCATGTGCAAAGTCATTGTATTGTATTTCCACTACTTACCGGAAGCAGGAAGATATGCACCGAAGCGGGAGGATATGCACCGAAGCGGGAGATATGGAGGTTCTGGATATGGAAACCTCAAAATCAGGATACGGGATATATCTTACCAATTTATCTCCCTAAAATTCTACTTGGCATAGGATAAGATCCTTTATGTTTGTGTCTGACTCTTGTAATTGCAATCGTATCAGGTTATTAAATGGAATACTGTATTTAGAGTGTCTTCATAAAAGTCATTTTGCAAGGTTTTTCAAACCCAGGAATGCCTGGATTTTGAGAGAGTAAATGGCGACAGGGAAATGTCAAGGTTTTATGCACAAGACCCTAAAAAGTTGGTAAAAATTGGTAGATATAATCATAGAAGCCTGTTCATAAAGTCAATGATAAGATACAGAGAGACATTATAAAGAGGAAAACCTGAAAATTGCTTGCCTTGATCCATTGTTAAAATGTTATAGGAGAACTGATATATGTGAGATGCACACCAATGATTTTGTTTTGAATTTGTACAAATTAATCGTCATTGTTTATACTTAATGAGATTAATCATCATTATTTATACATAATGAGTATATACTGTATGGACCATGATACTCAGGTTTATAACAATCCACAGTTACCTCAAAATATTTTTGATTCATTATGTTTTGCTGATGCACATTCAACAGACATTTATATAAAACATCTTTTCTGAATAAGTAAAGGACCCACGGTCCTGTGCTCACACAGTGTTTTGTGCAGCCAATGATGATTGACTTTATACATGAGAATGTTCCCTGAAAATGACAAAGTCTTTCTTTTTGTCAAATTCTATAGAGTAAACACCAAAAACTGTAATTTCAAGAGCTTTGAAATCTTCAGAGAACATAAGTTGTATATACAGCAACTACTACAAGTTATTTGAAAGTTCTACTTGTACTTCAACAAAGTATCTAGTATTTACAGAAAATTTGACTTTTTGACGTCAAAATCAGCAATTTCTCGGAAACTGGGCGAACTTGGGAAATGGCGATGATAGGTCAAATAGGCATTATGGATATGCATAAAATGAATGCGGATATGACTCAATCGGAATAGCAGTTTTAATTTGTGCGGCCAATGTTTACGGTTGGATCAACGGACGGATCAACGGACAGACAGATGCCTGGTCGATCCCATAGGCTCACTGTGTGAGCCAAAAAGCATTTGCATTTTAAAACTTTAGAGTCCTAAAATTCAAATTGGAGCAATTTTCCAAGCTTAACATTTTCAGAAAATAAGCTATGGACCAGAATCTATTGATATTGCAAGTTTACGGATCAACAGGATTACTATTTTTGGGCTATTTAGGATCAGGATGACAAACATTGCCATTTTAGGTATAGTCATTTCAAAACATGTATTATTTTGGCTCGAGTAGTTTGGTATACCACAGACTTGAAGAAATGAAATCTGTGGGTATAATTGATGAAATTTTTTTACAAATGATTTTATCATAATGGTTACATCATTTACATGTGATCAGCCCTGGGATGGTTATATATTGACCCATTCTTTTTAGAATTTACATGGCTTCAAATTTGTATACAATCTATGTTTATAAATGACGTTTACACCCTCTCCAAATATATAGAAAGGCTGTATTTTCATTAGATATCATGTTAAATGTTCCAGCCTGCTTATGGTTTGATTAATAAAAATTGGTTCAAAAAATGACAAAGATGAATTATATCAAATCACCAAATGCACATAAAAAAGTAAATGGATATAATCTTTAACATATGGTTCATTTTGGGAAATAATGTTGCCAATCTTTTGGAGGGGAGTGTATATTAAACATATGTAAATAGAGGTTTAAACATACATCATTGAAAAGTTCAGGGAGTAATTATTTTTGCAGAGATATCACAATATACTGTAAGTACATGTACAATGATGTCAGGTTTATAGGACATAAAATATAGATTATTTATAAAAACAAAAGCAAGCACTGTCTTTGTAATATTCTCCTTTAGGATATTTATTTTCCAAGAAATATCAAGTGCAACAATGGAAGAAGGTCTAATGAATGGAATAAATTTTTCCCCAAATTACACCACACTAAAATATTGGTATTTTCTTCCAAACATTCAAGAGCTTAAATATAGATTATTTATAATAAAAACAAAAGCAAATACTGTCTTTGTAATATTCTCCTTTAGGATAGTTATATTCCAAGAAATAATTATGAAGTGCAACAATGGAACAACTTTGGCCCAAGGAATGAAATATGCTTTTTCGAAGGACATCACACTTAAATACCAGAATACTGAAGGTCTTCTCTTTCAAACCTTTGAATTGCATGTAGCAAAGAGTACTCATTACAAATGCACAAATTCTCATATTAGAGCATTTTCAATACCTGAGGAGGTAACTTTAAGGATGGGTAAAGGTGTGCGCATGTGGAGTAAAACCTGCATTAGTGGGAGTGCTTGGTACCTCGAAAAGGGTTCCAACTGGGAAGTGTTCAACTTACAGAAGTTTAATTTTACATGAAGTTAATGAGGTGAGGTGTTCTACTCTACATATGTTACTGTAATCAAATGGAGCACAAATCTCTCATTCGGGCCATGAATTAGTAGGATCCAGAATCCAATCCGGATAAATTTTGTCATGGTAATTATGCATTGTGAGATTGATCCTAGAATTAATCCTAAAATCGGTGAATTTGTACATTCCTGCTTGGGATTAATCTCAGATAAATTTTATAATTAAATTGGATAAATCTTGAGGATTCCCCCTTATTGTCCTCAGATAGTACCAATTCACTTAATATTTTTCGGATAAGTAATCCAAGATTTTTCCCATAAGATAAAATACATCCGGATCGGATTGCTGATGGTACCAATTCCCGGCCCCTGAAAATAGTTCTGTTGCCAGGGTAACAAAGAAAACGGACATAATTTCCATAGTTACATAATGTGCAATTGTGTTACAATAAATCTCATAAAAACCTGACTAAAGCTTGTGTGCAAACACAAATAAAAATGTCCATGATTAAACTTGAAAATATATTTGTCCTAGTTGCAAACAATGAAAAAACACGACACATACAGGGATAAAAACGCACTTACTATTGAAAATTCAAAATGGCCCATTAGCACAATAGAATGACAATAGAGCACTAAAAATTTGTAATATTAATCATCATTAACAAAACACTTATTTAAAACAAGCCCCAGTTGACCTTTATGCTTAAAACATACCTGTAATAATTTAGGAAAATATTTTTTATCAACTTTCAAATGAGATTATTTTCTAAGATGACCGGAGAAAAATTGTCATGTCACGACTCACTACCACAAGTGGTAAAAAAATCTTGTATTGTTGGTAATTGAGATTACATCCAAAAATTTTCTTGCACGCCGGTGACTAGTTTTTGGAACCATAAGTCATTGATATGAATCTCATCCATTTCTTATCTCTAATGTGGCGCTTGAAAATAATAAATAATAGGCCTATATTTCTTGAATGAAAAAACATCAAACATACTTTCAAAAGAGTGTTGAATTGAAAGCCATGGAGTAAATCTGAGTCAAAATGATAATGAAATGATCCAGAAGAAACTAAACAAACATGATTGTTTGATTTTATAGAAAGATGAAAAAATGTCTGAAATCACTAAAGCCTCAGTCACATTTGCTCTATGGCACGCAAAATGGTAGTCGTAGCTTAACAAAATCACTATAGAAAATCTATGTTGTACTATTTATCCCTATATTTTATGCTGTATATTTATCTCGATTTTTTGGAAGCTGCGGTTAATGTATTGTTGCCGTAGATCAAATGTGACTAAGGCATTACTTACAAAACAATTTACTGAAGCTTGAGTATACATCCAAATATAAATATCTATATTACATTGTTAAAAACATGTTCAATAATAAAACATGTGTAACCAAAATAGATACGAGGCATTAACATGCAAAATATCACCACCTGCCATTTGTTACAGCTGCTGACTGCCAAATACCATCCACAAAAAGTTGGAGACCGTAACAATATGTCACCACTTGTGGTGGTGACATAAAAACAAGCAACTACAATACAAATAACAATAACAATTCAAATAATTTTAATATATACAGATTCATTATTTTATACATAATTTAGCAAAACGACATCAATATTTTAATAAATGACATTTTTACATACATTTTGTATGTCCACTATACATGTACATTTATTTCCCCCAAAATACACCAGAGATCAATGAAGAATTACAATATGGTTAAACCATGTAAAAATATATTAGTTTTTATAACATTTTATAATATATGGCTTTTAGTCATTTAAAGACTCGGGGCTCTTTCAAAGAGGGGTTCCTCGGTCTGCCTTCCAAGATTACAGATGTTAACAACGACTGTATAAAAACATGATATATCCAAGAGATATTACTCATCTTCATTGGTGGTGAACAAAAATAAATAAAATACTGTCCTAGGATCAAGAATTTGAACAAACCAATACTTGCCTAAGTCTGTATTTTTAAAATGTCAATTTAAAGATGTATTCCAGGGAACCTTTATTAGTCTGAAGAATAAACTCTTTAACCTTAATAGTTTTCAAATATTTCTGAAATGTGTTTTATTTCTTTTGTTCGACTGGTCTATGAAAAAAATATTTGTAAAATCCCAGGCCCCATACATTTAAATTTTAGAGGAGATTGAAAATGAGAAAATATTCCATATTTATGAACACCAGTGTATCACATGTGGGAGTAAGGTGACTAAATGGTGACTATGCTCATCTTCGCATGCTCGGTCTTCACTGCGTTCATTTGACCGACAGGAGCTGAGTTAATGAAGATGCTGCACATGGCTGGTGAAAATGGCCTAATCTTTACAGTCATGTGACTTAATTTTAACTGTGGGTTTTCTCTTGACTTTGACCAATCATATAATAACAATCTTGACAGTGATCTCATCAAATGACTAGTTCTGTATAATGGAATGGGTGTACCAGCCTAATTTTATTCAATTTAGAAGCTACAATGATTGATGTCAAAAGTAACACATACAGTAATCATCACAAATAATCAAACTACTCAAACTGTAATACTGTAATCAAACAATGGCAAGCTTATTTATTGACTTGTGTATTGCAGAGTTTAAAATTTGAAAAGCCAACTTGTCCCTTTTTTAACAAAATAAAATTTGGACCTAATTCGACAACTGGTATTTGAGTTATTTGAGAAATTATATTCATCCTAAAAAAGACAGCCATTAATAATTTAGCAGGCATTAAAAAAATTACTTCTTAACCTCTTGAATACCCAGAGTGACGGATATATCCGTCACAAATGAAATAAGACTGGTGCCCAGAGGGACGAGAAAATCCGTCACAAAATTTTTCACAAAAATTGCTCTCATTTGAACAATTTTCATCCAATTTACACAAAAATTGTTTTAAAACGTGTAGAAATGATCTCTGCCGTCCAATTTTACTAAGCTGAGCATCTAAAGTTGTATAGGTATGTAATAAAATGTCAAAAGGTGGCAAAAATGAAAAATTATTTGGTTTCATGCCAATTTTAGAGCCTGGGATTCAAGAGGTTAAAACAGTCCAGGCATCTGCACATAATAGCTGAATCAAATCTAACAACAGGTATCCCAGTTTTCAAAGGTAATATTTTTACAAAAAATGCTGGCCATTTTGAAATAAGCACTCATACTTGAAATTCCTTCATTTGGCGGAATGCAATACTATACTGAAGTATATCATTCCAGATGCCACACAAATAAAGCTAAAAGCAAAATATTATTCTTATGTTTTGTGCATTTGATGCATTCACGATTTATCACATACTCTTACGACACTTAATGATATGTACATGTAGTGAAATAAATAATTGATGAATACATGTATAACGAATAACTCTAATGGTCAGTGGCATAATCTGTAAAATTGTTCTAGAAATGCAGTACTTCAATCTTAGCTATCTGTCCTAAAAGACACACCTTTCTAACCATTCTGAATAATGTATATTCAATATCATTATCATTTATATTCAACATTTTGAGATTATCACCAGACATATCATGCCCATGGACATATCTATGATCAAATTGGCAATTATCATATTACCAAAACCTAAATGATTTCAGAAAAATGAAAGCCTTTATTGTGCAAGCCATTGCCAATAACCTTAGTCCAAACTTGTACAAATATGTACTTGAGCAAGCCTATAATTATTTCAGTTTATAGCAGATATTTAACTTTTAGGGTGGAGAGGAAGTCAAGTCCATCTTGCTAGTGCAATCCAATTTCTCCTTTCTAGTTCAAGCCAATTTCACAATTTCCTCAGTAAGTTCATACTAGGTAACAGTAACTGGTTCAATTTTGATATAAACAGGTGACCGAGGATCGTCAGATTTTTGAGCTCCAACCGTTAGATTTAGAGGCTGGTTATGCGGATTGTGGGTGGGTGTTACACTTGTCATTCTGTGGTTAACGTCTCTTTGAGCACCCATATCCTTATATGGCGCCAACGTCTCAGTTTGTTTCTGCCTGGAAATATCATTTTTAAACATTAATTTTTATAGATTATTTTATATTTTCAGTAGTACAGGGTGATTCATAAGTAAAGTCAAAGATGTTGCCATTTCAATTGGTCTGAAAAGCAGGAAGTCTGGGTTCAGGCTGAAAAGTAGAGGTCTTGGGTTCAAACCCAGGTCACAGCACTTCTTGTGATTTGTCTTTGACCTATGACTGCTGACCTATACCGGCGAATACTAGAGTGCTGCTTACTCGATAAAAGGCTGGCGCTGGCTAGAATTGTCTATGGTTCTAGCCAGGATAAAGATACCAGTTCTTCAACTCGACAATGGGAAGAACTGCTCTACCTTAGTGACTAATATGTCATGATATGACATCTAAAGAGTCAATAAAAGATATATATAAAAGATATATATAATACTACTGGATCAATCTTCTTGAACCTTGGAACAGATATTATCAGTATTTGATTCATTATTTGAGTATATTTATTTTGTTGAGTCAAGCTTCAACTATTTCACTGGTCGGTTTTATGGTTACTATGGAAACCCAATGTGACATATGTGACAATGCAGCTTGTGTTATGTGTTCATGGATTCTTATTTGCATGTAATGGAAAGGTAGAGCTTAGATCATCAGTGCATTCATTTAGACAGTACATGTATTAGACACAGTCTAACCCAAGCCCTATAAACCATGACAATGCATGACTTTTAATTAACCAACCAAAAAGAAAAATTGAAACAATTTAATTATTCCCATGATGATTAATGCATGATGACAAAATATATGCTTGTTTCACTTCATTTCTATCAAATTCCTTTTTTTATTTATTTATTTCTTATTTCCTTCATATAACAATAAATCAAAATACAAATTATTTACAGTGGACACCTAATATAGATGTATATATGGCTTGATTAGACATGGATTGAATATAATAATAGCATAAAAAAATAAAAGTATAAATAAGAACACATTAATAGTTGTTGGGGAGGAGCAGGAGGGGTGACAGTAAAATGAAGTAAACTTTCACTTGTACTCACTTTCCAGTTTTATATGATACCGGATTTTCTCGCATATAAGCCCTGGGCGTATAACTGAACTGTACTACTTTCGATTTTTGGCCCAGTGGGCGTAAAGGTGAGAAAAACAAAGTAACAACAGAACGATCCACCACTGCCACTTACGGCACAGCGTTGAAGTTAATGTTGAAACAAAGTAACAACAGAACGATCTGCCAGTGACAAAATACTCTTGAATTTATTGAAAAGACCAATAAATAGTCATTTTTATAGGCCCATGGGCGTATAAGCGTACTACATTCAATTTTTGGCCCATGGGCCTAAATTTAGGGGGGCTTATATGCGAGAAAATCCGGTAACCTGTGAAGAAAATTTCAGTCCTTACCATTCGATATGTTGTCTGTGTCTGTTGAGCTGTTGATTCATATAAGGGGCATTTTGCCTGTTACTGGACAAGGAATGTGCCATCTGATAACCAGCAAAGCTGCTGCCCATCATCTGCTGCGATTGGTGGATACTGCCTTTGTTATAAACCATCATGCGGTTATACTGCATGTTAATGAGATCCGGTAAGCCGTGTAAGCCCTTTGCGGGAGAAGTTGGGTATAACATTCCCGGTGGGAAATGTTGAGACATTTGTACACCTCTTGGTGATAAATTACACGCCACCTGTGAGTTATACTGAGTCCCCGATGCAAGCCATGGCCTTTGATCTTGAGGAAACGCAGAATTGGAACTGTGGCTGTCCGTGTACTGCTGCATTTTATTTTGCACTGACATGTCCATAGAATTTGGTACAATTGGAGATTCATGCATTTTATTAGTTGGTGATCCTGATTGTGATAATTTCGCAAAATGTTTTCTCATTTCGTCAGAACGGGTTCCTGTAATATATTGCCAGGCATTGCCATTGATATGTTTCAATCTTTCTCCCAGCATACTATTACATTGATAATTCTGGCGTATCACTTCCTGTTCAGATTTGTTTCCCGTTTCAATCTGTTTAAAATTCTGCTCTGAATTTTGAGAATTTAATGGATACTCACGAGGTATCGCGAGTATTTCCAACATAGAATCGTCTGGACTATTTTCTCTTGGACTATTTTCTCTTGAGTTTAAATATGAATCAAGTTGTGAGTTGTTACTAGACATTGATGAACTTGAGCGTTTACAAACGTCAAACTTCTTATGTGGTTTATATGAGCAACTTGCAGAACTTTCACTGGGACTTGTCCGAGACAACCCTAAACCTGCGCCATCTGTGTCCAAAAATGGATATAAAGGGTTATGGAATATGGGGCTACCATCATCTCCTCTCATTGCCTAAAACCAGAGGAAAGAACAATCTAAGAATTAAAAGTGCTAGAAATCACCCTACTCACAAATGCCTCTTAGTCAAATTCCATTTTGAATTTTAAATATATCAATTGGTCAATGTTGAATCCTACATTTAACTTTTTGGGTTTGTGAAATATCAATATAAGAGCTAAAAATACAGTCATTAGAAATGGTGACATTGGAAAATTTTCATATTTCAGATTCAAAATAAGAGAACATAATTAATGCCATCTCTGCATTTATGGGAATGTTATGGGTGAGTAGGTGGGTTAATTGTGTTATGGGACATTTACTTCTATGCATCACTACACAAAGTGGTTGTTATTGGTTTCATGTGCTAAAAATACTTTAAGTTAATGTCTAATATATCATAACTAATTGACCCGAAAAAGCTGAAGAATCATAAGATTATACTAATAAAAAATAACTTTTTGAAGCCTATAAAATGGATAAGCCCACAAAATGGATATCAGCATAATTATTCAGACAATGCTCAGTAAACAAAATAATACTCTCTTTTGTCTGAGAATTGTTGACAGATGGAGGGATAAACTGACGAACGGATGTAGGTATGAATGGATAAGTGACACATAGACAGTGATCTCTCCAGCATTAAAGCAAGTGGGCGCAGCACCCACCTGAGATTTTTAAAACAGGCTTGCACCCACCTGAGAATCCATTTGCACCCACTTGAAAATGAGAAAAATCATGAAAATTTGGCATATTTTGGCCAATTATGGTCTGAACTGTGAAAATGAGAATTTTGCACCGACTTGAGAAAGATTATTCTGTGGAGAACACTGCATAGAATTGGTATAAACATGTGAAAATATATTACCTTACTACTAATGATGTTTGGTTCAGGATGTGGTCGTTTACGAGTATTGTTGTCACCAGATTGTGTCATCTTGATTAAGGACTCCAGCGGAATAGGACCCTCATCTAATTGTGAGGTACATGTAATTGAGCTATTCACTCCTGGACTGGTATTCACTCCGAGACTGGAACTGGATATGTTTGAATTTTCAGATATCGTCTGATGATTCTTTGGTGAAGAAGAAGATGAGCTGGTGCTATTTACAACATTAGAGCCATTAATACTGAAAAAGAAAATATCAATGATTTCATACAGTGTATATACGCTTCCTAGTCAACTCGTACCCAAGACAACTCGTACCCAAGACAACTCGTACCCAAGACAACTCGTACCCAAGACAACTCGTACCCAAGACAACTTGTACCCAAGACAACTCATACCCAAGACAACTCGTACCCAAGACAACTCGTACCCAAGTTTATTTTCAGTATTATGGGTGCATATTAGGAAAACAAATTGAGTCTGTATAATAATGTTTTATTGTTATTATGTGAATCAATATTTTTTCTGAATTTAGAAGACATTTTTTCTCAATGGATTAAGCAAAGCATTTTGTTTTAACTTGGATCACCTTTTTTAAATAAAAGAAGTGCTTTGAAGGGCTTGTTCTCGACTTTTTTGTCATACGTATATATAAATGAATTTAATTACAACAGTAACTTTTCTACAAATGAATCAAACAATTAATTTAGCTAAGTGCAATTAGATAAAGTTGTAAGGGAAGTTTAATCTGTTAATTTCTTTTCCATTTTGAACTTAATTGGATTATATTTGAGCACATGCATACAAAGTGTATTATATCATGTACTGTATGAATAATATAATATCATTTAGAATATTTTATTGCTAAATTTTATGAATGTGACTTCTTAAAATTAACATTCTTCAATCTGATAATATGAAATCCTAAATAGATTATCTGTTAAATGAGAAATTAGGCCCAAGTTTTGATAAATATTAATATTTTTAATAATACCATCTTGAAGATCTGACACTTGTTCCAAACATTCATAAACATACAAAAATACCTCAAATATTTTGAACAATGATTATGAATATGTGGAAAAAGCATAGGTCTCTTCCCTCAAACATTCTGAATCTGTGACCAATATAAAATAATAGTCAAAATAGATTGACACTTAATTTTTCAAAGCTCAAAATGTCACAAAATTAAATAGATTTCTTCCAAAAACTCTTCTACACACTTCAAACTAATCTGAACTGTATGTAACAATTATAATATGTATATCTATACCCATTCCATTCCAACACTTGATTGAAAACAAAACATAAACTTGGGTACGAGTTGTCTTTGGTACGAGTTGTCTTGGGTACGAGTTGTCTTGGGGACGACTTGACTTGGGTACGACTTGACTTGGGTACGAGTTGTCTTGGGTACGACTTGACCAGTTACCGTATATACACCCTATGCAGACAGTGCTTGTAGAAAACTCTTGGTTGGGATATGCATACGCACAGTGCGGAACCAACGGTCATTTTTTAATTTGATTTTGTGATATTTTTTAAACTAAGTCATGTTTGCTTTTCAAATATATCCATATATGTGAAGAAGGTACCTAATAAAAAGGAAATTGTGTAAATAGTTGTTAACTTCATTCCATATACAGTATATTAATATAATAATATATTTTGCATAAAAAAATAAATAAATAAAAATACCTTGATGAGCTTGGGCACTCTTTGATCCTATGCGGAGTATGGAGTATGATACGCTCATTGTCTGATGATGGGCCTCCTTTATGACCAGTAGCAGACGGGTATTCAGGGTACAGGGGTAAGTCCAGATACAATGGATCTAGATCACTACTGCCCGCCTTCATAGGGCCATTACACACAGTCATATTTGGCAAAGGACTAAAAATCAGAAAAAATGAATCGATTAGTAGTCTATAGCTGAAGAACTTGATGTAACTCTGGAATTTCATACTTGTATATAAACCTTGTGTAACCCCCCTTCCTCCAACAAACACACTAACAAGGCATTAATATGCAAAATGTCACCACCGACCACCAAATGCCAACTGTCAAACACAAACTGCCGAACAGTGTTAAAAAAAGTTGGAGACTATAACGATATGTTACCACTTCAGGGGATATGAAAATGATAATATCCAATAATTCTATTGTTTCAATTTATTTATTTTGCCTATTGACAGGTTATAATAAAATCTTAACTCAAACATCTACAGTAGAGAATTATAACTTTAATAAAAAGAGCCAAAACAATGGCTGTGATAAAGGCATTGGAATTATATCACACTTGTCCATTTAAAGTACATAATTATAGTCTATTCATTTTCTGGTACTGATTTGACCATTTGTTAACTTTTAATATTTTATGACAAATGTAATATATTGTATATTCCATTTTAGTAAAAATAATCTTACTTCGAAGGTGCTGCTGCCTTTGTCTTCCGCTGTGCTGTTGTTTGTGACTTTGAATGGCTGGCCATCCCTACAGAGACAACAGATTCACATTTACCTGACTTCTCAAACATAATCTTTAATTTCATAGTTGGTTATTTTTCCGAGTACACTTGGGTTAACTTAATTTGACATAATTTCCTACAATGTTATTGCAATTGGTTTGATTTGGATATATGATGCAAAAAGCTCCACTCCTTAGGTGTCTACCTGGGAATTTTGGTTAAATTATTCCTGAGACTGTTATTAATATGGGACATAATAATACCACACCTGTGATCATTTTACATTAATTTATCATTATGTAATATCAATGCTGATTCAGGCTACCTATATTCCAAATGTCAGACATATTGTCAGACATATATTTTATTTGAAATAAGTGGAAGGAGAGTTTGACATTTGAAATATCTTTTAATGATGTGTTTCATGTACAGTCGCCTATATCATTATCACAAATATCAAATTCCTCATTTCAATGTTGTAGCTAACATCTGATATAGCATTTTGCTAATAGGTCTTTCAATTTTGTTTTCTAATATGTTATAGCCTACAGCATAATAATTACTTTTGCCAGTTACGAGTTAACGATAGGATGCACTGAGTTTTCTGTCTCAGTCTTATTCTAGTTTTTACCCATACCATCTTAGACCCCTGAAGTCTAAAATTAGCGTTTTACTAAATCTCCTCTGAAGGTTTCAAATTCTATCTCTTTATCATAATCGTTTACTTTTAAGTTACAAGAAGTCTATCTCAGGTTTGACCTCAAATGACCTCTTAAATTGACATCATCAAAATTAGCCCTATCTAATTTTAAATGTCGAGTTATATTCTTAAACATTCTCAATCTAACGGCAAATAGTGCTCAAATCATGCAATGTCAAAAAACAGTGCGACTCCAAGTCATGCGTCATATAACACTCTCCAAAATGAATTCTTGTAATTCTTGTTTTCTGAGATCTCATCATATCTGCTTTAATGGGCACATTAACCTTTTGTAGATTACTGACATGGACATCAGCCTCAAATCAAATAAATATACGCTTATAGGCACACCAAAAACTTTTTCAAAATCACAACTCCCAGACCTTTTTGGAATACTGAAATTCCCTGAGATTTTTAGCCATTTGTAAGGAAATTCTGACCTTGAAATATCTGGTCAATTCAGGTTGGTTTTGCCACCCTGAAGATGGCAACAAGGCAACAATGGGGTGCCAATAGTGTCACACAGGGGTGCACCCCAGTTGTCCGAAACCCAGTTGTCCGAAACCCAGTTGTCCGAAACCCAGTTGTCCGAAACCCAGTTCTCCGAAACCCAGTTGTCCGAAAAATTTAGTCATACTTTACCAGATAAAGGGGGACGCACCTCAAGCCAGTTTCATGTCATGTATTTGGCAAAATTAATGGCATGGATGCATTCTGATGTATAGATCTCTCTCTCACTTTGAATTGCATCCATTACACGGCGTTACCAGAATGACAGGAACGGGGGATTTATTTTACATTGTGATTCTAAAAAAGGTCATCAAAACACAATATATATTACGGAACAGTTGATCTTATCTTATTCAATATATTTTATATAGGCAAAATAAAATGAAACATTTTGAAACCGATAAAATAAGTTAACGCATAAAACTTTAAGAATAAACAGTAGATCTACACATATTACGTTGTCAAAATGTTTCGTCGCATTTAATTTCTTGGTCTCTGTCTCTTATCAAATCGTAAAATGAACAAAACATTCTAAACGTAATCACTTGGGATTAACTGGAAACGAAGACAGGCTGTCCTCATATCAAATTGGATGTTCTCCAATTCGCAAGAAGTTTTTTGAATTTAATCTCTATTTCTCGAACAGAGTACCTAAATGAAGAATAATTTTTGGTTTCAAAAGATGTACACGACGTCAACTTTACTAAATAAACGCCCAGTAGGCTCATTTGCGTGAAAAGCCGGTAGTTGTATTTATACACTCCCCTCCATAAGTTTGGCAACCTTAGCTCCCCCATTGAACTACGTGTTAAAGCCTCTTTACGTTTGAATTTTTATTTACGATGAAATAGCGTATAATATTGATGGAAACGTAACTTTACTTTATTTCCAATACCTCCTAATTTTCTAGATTTTTTTCCTCCATAACAAGAGATCGAAAATTGAGGATAAATTTGATGAATTTTTTAAAATCGTCATTCCCGTATAATCCAAGGGGAAATAGAGAGTTCGGGGCAAATCAGAATCTTTTCAGTAAAAGATTCAGCAAAATTTTTTTGGTATAAAAATTTGAATTGTCTGACTTTTTTGTTCACTAAGTTTTAATTTATTTGATGAATACTAAATTTATACAGCTTCAAAGTCATTTTTGAAAATAATTTTTCGACTCCTGTGTTATTTCAATGGGAGAGTTTTCTTGAAAACCAATTTTGACTTTAAAGCCCTGTAACTTTGTTGAACCTGAAGAAACATATCAATTCTTTGTTAAATAAAGTTAGCAAATTCAATTGCCTGCCTTACTCATATTTTGCAAGGACTTGAATGGATGAATATTCTGTCATATGACGTGCGGTAAATCTACCATTTCCCATTGGATGACATGGGAATGACGATTTTCAAAAAGTCATCAAATTTATCATCAATTTTCGACCTATTGTAATTTAGGAAAAAAATTGATAAAATTTGAAGGTATTGGAAATAAAGTCAAGTTACGTTTCCATCAATATTATAAGTTATTTCATCGCCGGTTAAGTAAATAAAAATTCAACTTATGGAGGTGAGTGTATCTTCCATTGACGGAGGATAATGTTTAAAGGGGCTGTGCGTAGGAAAACTACGCTTGCCTTGGGGACTCCGTACGGCGTATCCAGTTTTTCACACGCCGCAGGGTCACCGTATAGAAATTATAACTCGGAGTTATAATATTTGTTCATTTCTGAGGTCCCGTAGAAATCAACTGGCTCAACAAGATTGAATCATTATTTGTCAATGTTTCACGATCACTTTTCATTTGATATTACATCCTAGCACTATGAATAACATTTATAGATTGCCCTGATGTAAATAAACTGAAAAAAGTATTATTTATCAACAGAAATTTAAAATTCACCGTGCGGCTGCCGTGGGAAGTCCTATTGATCCTCATAAATTATCCCCTACTCATACTAAGTTAAAATGTGCCCATCGTGCGCCTAATGCTAATGGCGCTGTCACACTGGTCGTGTCCCGTCTCTCAACGTACAAAGCATTCAGGCCAAAATTTAAGGAATAAGCTATAGTGAGCTGTTTCAGAACGCCGTCTGAAACGCCTTCTGATTCTGAACCCACTGTATTCATTGGACGGTGGGAGGTCGTCCATGCTTACACTTTCAGTATCTGACACTATTATCACACCAAACTAGTTCTCACTACGCTCTCGAGAACGGGCTTAAACTGTGTGGACGGATTGGAAGTACTTAGAACCGTCTGGGGTGTACTTGCCTACTCGAAAGGGTAGTTCCAAAATTTCCACGTGGTCATCACTTTCTGCAATCACGCGGTCTTCGACCGTTAATTGGAATTTTTGACCTACCAGATGCTTGAAAATCAAGGATTGCGAGTCTGATACTGCACCGTTTTTCTTCCATTATACCATTAAAAGCAAAACAAAATTGCACTTCTGTCAGTGCATTACTTTATTGTAAAGAGTCTCTCGTTCTAGCAGCATTTTGGTCCCCACTCCCCAGCTGTTAGAAGGCCTTCTTACAGCTGGGGACCAAAATTACGCTGGAAGTAGGAACTCTGTTTAAGATAATAACGTACCATCAGAAAGAGATTTTTGTCATGCTTTGAATGGAACAAGTTTGAAGAAAAACGGTGCAGTATGAGACTCGTAATTGATTTTCAAATATCCGGTAGGTCAAAAATTCAAATTAACGGTCGAAGTTAGGACCGCGTGGCGACGTGGGGCAAAGGTTGAACTGTCTCAGAATGTATTGGGAACGAGGTAGAAATAAAGAATTCATATGAACGAGTCATGCAAGATACTAAAGAGATACAAATTCATTTTGATACTCAGTTTTTGGGCAATTAAAACTCCCTGTCTGCATTGAGTATAATAGTTATTTATTGTCCGGTGTATAATTTTGAAACATTATTCTAATTTTTCACAAAACTTTTTCAATGATTCTGCAATAGTTAATGGTTGACATCTATGGCACACTAAAAACGAATTTTTTTATGCAGGATACGTATATGATACAGATCAAATCTTGGCTCTACTACAAACTATTACACACTTACTTCAACAGTTCAATAGACTATATCGCAAAAACACAGTTTTGATTTTGAACAATATCACCAATGGGAGAAATTTTTAAATCTAAATGTTTGGAAAGGAATACGTTTCTACTAAAACATACAAACCTCTTATATTATGATGAAAAAGGATAGACATCTGATATGTATATATGCCACATATATAAGTTATACGAAATGAGCATATTTTATTGATTTATCGAAAATTTGGACGAAATCTTAACAATGGGTGGTACTGAACAACCAAAATCTTCCTTTTAGATATTTTTCAGGGTAGAAATATTATCAATGGATATTGGAAAACATAATTAACCATATCTTATTGAGAAAAGGGAATGAAAAAATTATCAAATGAATATATATAATTGTCACGGACGTCCATAACGTTATTCTAATGAGATAGATATTCCTTTCGCCAGAATATTCTCTTCGACTGTGATAATTGTCTAAAATGTTGGCGGCAGTCTTGAATTTTCACCAAGAAGGAGTGCGATTCGTGCTGGACAATGCGGTTCAAAATTTGTAGAATGTCCATGGTATATGAGCCGAGAATCTAGTAAGAATATATATATGATCGTGAACTTTCGGACCGATGTCAACGTGATACCAATGTTATGCTGTCCTGATTTGCGAAGTTGCGACAAGATTCGTTACTATATAAGACATTTAATTTTTTAATTTTCGGAGAACTGGGTTTCGGAGAACTGGGTTTCGGACAACTGGGTTTCGGAGAACTGGGTTTCGGACAACTGGGTTTCGGACAACTGGGTTTCGGACAACTGGGTTTCGGACAACTGGGTTGACCCCGTCACACAGACACTTTCAAAAGATCAAGAAGAAGACCAGATCACAGTGGCAAGATATGGAATAAAAAATGTTTACTTACCTAACAATTTTTCTGAGTGAAGAGCATTTAATGTACGGATATCCGGAACTTTCATAAGAAGTTTCGCAAACAACGCTGGAACATAAAACCACAAGATCATGTAACAAAAAAGTTACATAACGCGACTAGAAAGGATAGAGATGAGTCGAGACTATGTTTTGAAAAAATTGTCACAATTTTAAAATATTTCTTGCTCTCTTCATTAGATGTCACTCATATTTCCTAAAAGTCCAAATGTTCTGACTTTATTTCAGTATAATCCTTAAAAATGAGAATAAATGGATGAATTTGGACATTTCTGTATTTTAAATTTTTAATAAGTTCTATATCTAAGGATTTAGGCCCTGGACTCAGAGCAATGTGGAGTGACCGTTCCTCGAAGGTGTTCCTTTCCAAAATTTGCATGAGATGTGGAGCATCGAGTGTTAATTCTAGGAAACAATGCCTGAAAGGAATGGTCATTTCACAATGCATTGAGTCTTGGGCTTAAATTCTTTTCACACATTGAAAATTTTTTTCTACAATATCATCTAAAAGATAAGAAATCCCTAAAAGAACATATTTGAAATAAATTTTTTTGCAAGGGTAAAGTTATCAATTTCAATCTGAAGAGTCCAAATATTTTGCTACTATAGTATGAATTAAGAAACAAATCACTTCACTTGATATTCTGCCAATATTAGCCATCACTCGTTTCACTAAAACTCTCAGTGAAAGGCCACATTTGAGCTCATTAAGACAGTTTAAGAATCAAAATGGTTGAATCATTTGTAGCACTCAGTGGGCAAAGTGGCTAGCTAATGGGGATTAAGAGCAAATTGGATCAGATTCGATAAATGTGCATGCTTACATGGATCTTCAGGATGATTCTTTGCCATCATTTTCTGGAGACATTCCATTATTTTGCTCTGAATACTGTCAATCTGCTCAGAATTTCTAAGACCAGGCCTATCTGCAAAAAAATTATTAGACTTTCTTCTATCAAACTCTTTTTAGACCAGGCCTATATATCTGCAAAAACTCATGCATCTGTAAAAATTTCATGATGAATGGATGAGTAGTTTTCCTAAAATTTTGATGACAAGATTTATGGAAAAAATGGCCCCAAATTATTTACCAAGCATGCCCAAAATCTAATCAGATCTTGGCACTAAGTCTGCTATTGCATCTGTAAAAGTTTTAAAAATACTATATTCTGATTGGCTGAAATTTATAAGATATGTGTGAAAAGTTAAAATGAAGATATCATGTCTTCGTTTCCAGTTGCTCCACAATAATTTCACAGTTCATCAATTTGATTTATTGGATGAAACTCACTGTTATGAATACAATGTTCATTAATCTTTTGAAAATGTTTTTGTTTGATAGTATTAAAATTGAAAATGTATCTCATTAATCTTTATGGTTATTTATACACAGATCTAGTTCATTTACCCATAGACAAGGCATTAACATGCAAAATGTCACTACCTGTCATCTGTTGCCAAACGCTGAACGACATCCACAAAAAAGTTGGAGACTATGAGAACATGTCACCACTTCTGGTGGTGACATACTAAAATTGGTGACATAACAAAACTGGATTTATACGACAGGACTCAAAAGGCTTTATAGAAAAATGGATATGAAAACAATTTTTCATTTTGCTAATAAGCCAAATGTTGAAACCATATGTAGGACACAAAATGTTGAACAACTTATTCTATAAAATACAAATAAATTCTGAGTTAATAAAGGCATGCAAAATGTCACCAGATACCATTTGTTACAGACATTGACCACCAAACGCCATCCACAAAAAGTTGGAAACTATAACAATATGTCACCATAAGTGGTGAGATGATAAGTCTTCCCAAATTTGGTAATATGTGTGTTAAAAGACAGTTACATCACTTTACTCATTTGACATCATTTACCGATTTAAACTTAAGAAAATGTCTGATTTGATAATCCTTACCTGCTGTGACGATGATAATGGCGGAAAACAAAGCCATTTCTTCATCTGTAAGATTAAAGCTATTAATTCTGTTCGAGAAATCAAACATGGAGTCCAGAAGAAACCCGGCGCTGTTCGTAACCTGAAATGAAATAAAATATCAGTCGTTTCCAGTCAGCCAAAGAGCATCTGGGTGATGCACTCTTTGGAAAATATGTTTTTACAATCTGAAGAGTGAAATATAGATATTCTGATTGAAACCTAGTTGCCCTCACTTAAAAAACATAAAAATTGCATATTATGACTGTACTTTAGAAAGAAATGTGAAAATGAGAATTATATAATTTATATGTTTATCCCATACTTAGTACTGTTATAGGTAAATAACATGCGAGAATATAATCGATATCTGAGGTGAGCGGGTGATACATATCTCCAGCTGAGGTGAGAATTTAAAATTGTTGAGGACTTTAAATTGAGATAAAATATTCATGTTTTGATTGTAATCATCATTTGTAATTACAACATTATGGTTCCCTAACATTCAATGCATATTTAATTCTCATAATCTACTAAGTATAGGATAAATTAGTTATTGAATGCTCGATTTTTGATACAGGGTATATCCCTCAGTAAATACAATAAATACTGTAACGTTTTTCCCGTGGGTCAGGAATGCGGGGAAAATGCGGGGAAGGTGGACCCTCCCGCGTGTTACTTAATTGCGGGATTATACGGAGCGGCGTTGACTCCGCTCGCTACAGTCGCCTGAGATGTTACTCCAAGGGAATGCAAGGGGAAAGAAAGTATTACGCAATCTGGGTTTGCACTACACAAGTTCCCTCTGGAACTCACTACAATACAACAATGAACATTCAAGTACAGAATAAAAATAAAGTTATATATTTGCTCTTTATGAGCCAAACAATGGTTTAGAAACAATAGACAATTATGTACAGAGTTGAACTCAAACTACACTAAGCTATATAATCACTAATGCCTTAAGGCAGAAAAAATACCTGTGATGTTACTTGAAGGTCTCTAAAGTTACTATAAGAAAGTAAGATCAAATCGTGTTTCACTTTAATCAGTTCCACAAAAGATAAAGGTTGATATCACTTGAATGTCTCTAAAGTCGCCACATAAAATAATCATGAACTCATATTAAACAATCACTATAACATTAGATGTCTTTGTTTGTGTCTTCTTCAGCAATTGTGGGATGCACCTCTTGTCTTTGTATTCCGTTGTCTGTCCTGAAATAAAATGGCGCTCCTGGCCACGGGACCCCACTGTCTACTTATCTAGTTTATTAATGTACAACCTGGTGCAAATATTCTTAAAATCCGGAATCCAAGTTGCAATCTGGTGCAACGATCCTACTCAATGGGTGCAAAAGCCCTTATATCTCTTGATCATAGGTGCAATGTTTCTGTGTGCCCCTGTTCCTTAACCAGGGTGCAATTCCTCTATATGCCCTTGTTCCTTAACCAAGGTGCATCTTGCCCCTGTTCCTTAACCAGGGTGCAAGTCCTTTTATGTGCCCTTGTTCCTTAACCAAGGTGCACCTTGCCCCTGTCCCTTAACCAGGGTGCAAGTCCTTTATATGCCCTTATTAAACTTTGCACCTATGTCCAGTTTGCAATTCCCTTATATGCCCTTGTTCCTAACCAAGGTGCATCTTGCCCCTGTTCCTTAACCAGGGTGCAAGTCTTCTATATTCCATTATCCAAGTTGCAATCAGGTGCAAACGTCCTTAAATCCTTTATCCAAGTTATAATCACGTGCAAATGTCCTTAAATCCTTAATCCGAGGTGCAACAGGGTGCAAATGTCCTTAAATCCTTAATCCGAGGTGCAACCGGGTGCAAATGTCCTTATTGGGTGCAACCTGGTGCAAATGTCCTTAAATCCTTAATCCGAGGTGCAACCTGGTGCAAATGTCCTTAAATCCTTAATCCGAGGTGCAACCGGGTGCAAATGTCCTATATGGGTGCAACCTGGTGCAAGTATTCTTAAATCCTTAATCCGAGGTGCAACCGGGTGCAAGTTTCCTTAAATCCTCAATCCGAGGTGCAACCTGGTGCAAGTTTCCCGAAATTCCTTTATCCAAGTTGCAACCAGGTGCAAATGTGATTTAGGGGTGCAACCTGGTGCAAGTATCCTTAAATCCTGAATCCGAGGTGCAACCGGGTGCAAATGTCCTTATGGGATGCAACCTGGTGCAAATTTCCTTAAATCCTTAATCCGAGGTGCAACCGGGTGCAAATGTCCTTATGGGGTGCAACCTGGTGCAAGTATCCTTAAATCCTTAATCCGAGGTGCAACCGGGTGCAAATATCCACTATGGGTGCAATCGGATGCAAATATACGCTATGGGTGCAACCGGGTGCAAATATCCTTAATCATAGGTGCAATGTCTCTGTGTGCCCCTGTTCCTAACCAGGGTGCAATTCCTCTATATGCCCTTGTTCCTTAACCAAGGTGCATCTTGCCCCTGTTCCTTAACCAGGGTGCAAGTCCTTTTATGTGCCCTTGTTCCTTAACCAAGGTGCACCTTGCCCCTGTCCCTTAACCAGGGTGCAAGTCCTTTATATCTCTTATTATACTTTGCACCTATGTCCAGGTTGCAATCATGGGTACAAATGCCCCTTGCACCAATATGGGGTTGCAAAGTTGGTTGCAACTCTCCAAAATATCCTTCCGTTGATTATCTTGGGTGCAAATATCCCTTGCACCAATCTGGGGTTGCAAAGTCGGGTGCAACTCTCCCAAATCTCCTGGGGTTGCAAGATTGAGTGCAACTCTCCCAAAAATTCCTTCACACCTATTCCAAGTGGTTGATATGGGTGCAAATATCCCTTGCACCAATATGGGGTTGCAAGTTGGGTGCAACTCTCCCAAATGACCTTCACACCTGGTGCAAATATTCCTTGCACCAATATGGGGTTGCAAAGTTGGTTGCAACTCTCCAAAATATCCTTCCGTTGATTATCTTGGGTGCAAATATCCCTTGCACCAATCTGGGGTTGCAAAGTCGGGTGCAACTCTCCCAAATCTCCTGGGGTTGCAAGATTGAGTGCAACTCTCCCAAAAAATTCCTTCACACCTATTCCAGGTGGTTGATATGGGTGCAAATATTCCTTGCACCGATATGGGGTTGCAAATTGGGTGCAACTCTCCCAAATGACCTTCACACCTGGTGCAAATATTCCTTGCACCAATATGGGGTTGCAAAGTTGGTTGCAACTCTCCAAAATATCCTTCCGTTGATTATCTTGGGTGCAAATATCCCTTGCACCAATCTGGGGTTGCAAAGTCGGGTGCAACTCTCCCAAATCTCCTGGGGTTGCAAGATTGAGTGCAACTCTCCCAAAAAATTCCTTCACACCTATTCCAGGTGGTTGATATGGGTGCAAATATTCCTTGCACCGATATGGGGTTGCAAATTGGGTGCAACTCTCCCAAATGACCTTCACACCTGGTGCAAATATTCCTTGCACCAATATGGGGTTGCAAAGTTGGTTGCAACTCTCCAAAATATCCTTCCGTTGATTATCTTGGGTGCAAATATCCCTTGCACCAATCTGGGGTTGCAAAGTCGGGTGCAACTCTCCCAAATCTCCTGGGGTTGCAAGATTGAGTGCAACTCTCCAAAAAAATTCCTTCACACCTATTCCAGGTGGTTGATATGGGTGCAAATATTCCTTGCACCGATATGGGGTTGCAAATTGGGTGCAACTCTCCCAAATATCCTTCACACCTATTCAAGGTGGTTGATATGGGTGCAAATATCCCTTGCACCAATATGGGGTTGCAAAGTCGGGTGCAACTCTCCCAAATCTCCTGGGGTTGCAAGATTGAGTGCAACTCTCCCAAAAGTCCTTCACACCTATTCCAGGTGGTTATAATGGGTGCAAATATTCCTTGCACCAATCGGGGGTTGCAAGTTGGTTGCAACTCTCCCGGAAATAACAATATAATGTTGAGTAAAAAAATGAATAAAAATACACACACAATTTCTATACAATCCGATATGACTCTCTAAATTAATGTTCAAAATGTCCAGGCTAAAAAATGGACAAACCGTGATGATATTTTATCAACAATCTTTCGTCAATTACTCAACAAAATATTCTTACTTACGACCCCGTGGTTGTTCCAGTCTGTAAATCCGTTTATTCCTTGTCGCACAACAACTTGACAAACTGGTCAAATTCCTTTTATATGCCCCGCGCGGACGTTTTGGACTGCATAAATCTGATTGGTTAATACCGCCAAAAAACTAGGTTAGTATGCCGATGAGGTACCTCAATGGGCGATAATATGAAATTTCCGTGGATGATCATGTCACTAAAATGCTAAAAACGTGATCAATTAACTCGAAAATGATTAAAAATCAAAGTTCCTATGAAAGATTACATTCCAATAATTGATCCGCCACTCGCCTAAACTCACCAGTTCCACTGAAATTCCTGTAAAATGGCTTCGTTTTCCGATTTCGAAAGAATAATTATATTGTCTTCCTTATTTCCGGAATTTCTTATCAAAACCGGTATTGGTGAAACGAAAACACTAAAATCAATAATCAATTTTCATCACAATACAATATATCAACCCTCGGTCCCTGCGGTCCCTCGGGTAGATATATTGTATTTCCCTCAGATATACCCTGTATCAAAAACTTCCATTAAATAACCTCTATATATCTTATAAGACTGAAAAAATTTCAAATTTATATATTTTAACAATAATTTTGCTTATAGCTCACTTGCAAAATATTACCAGAACAAAACATTTAAAAACAATAACTAAAACACTAGAGAACTCAGACAACTTTATAAATAAATTTAAAATTAATTCAATAATCGTCTTACTGTCTGTGATGGTATCCTCTTAAAAAGACGGCCATCATGGAACATCATGGTATTTGTTTTCGAGTCAAAAAGACAAGTCAAGTGAAACAGCAAAACTTCAAATGTCCCAGCCTGGAATAATGAACATTTTTTAATTTGTGAAAACAGGTACTTATGAAATACAATGTACTGGTATTTGTTTCATTTTAACCGTTATATTCTTTATTCAGTCTGATTGGTTTTCCCTAACCTCTTTTATATTTACTTTTTAAAATCATATAGACATATTTATATAAAAGTGATAAAGACATCCGATGGGGTGTATGGCTTATCGCAAGCTAAACTATTTAGATAGTATATTGTTGTGAATCTTATGGGAAATTGTTTCCATTCCAAAGGTAAATCTATACAGATATGTAATAGTATACAGAATTGAAATAACTAAAAGAACAACTCATTAGCAGGTATTTTAATATAAGGCGTCTATAAAAAGATTCTTAATTTGATCCCAAACTAGTTTATTCACAATGTTTATAATGAATTACACAGGACGCCCAAGGGGTGGTGGGTTCGATCCATGATAAATTTCCCAGCATGCCCAAACTTTATCAGATGAAAAGATTTCTTGAGTGGTAAAATTGCAAAATTTGCCAATTAAATCCCTGGGATTTGTTGAATGTGTTATTACCTGAGACTCCTATGCATTTGCGTTTTGTGCAAAATGTTCATCCATTTGTAATGTCTTATATGTTATTAGGCAATAAATAGGATACTAGCAATAATGTCTCTTACACTGTCTTATTATATAGTACTACAGATAAAAAATAAAAAATGATCGTGTAAAAGAGGTTGAGGAGCAACGTGCTGTTACTTGTAAATTTTATCCAACTATGACATTGGGTAGGTGTAATTACTGAACACAGGGAAACTTAGTTTATAGAGTTTGAGGATTTAGAGAGTAATGAAATTTAAACTTGTGAACCCTGCGAAATTTAATGCCAAGAATTGTGATTTCTCAAAATTTGCGAAAATTAAAACTTGCAAAATTAAGCAAGAGTACGGTATTACACTTTTCAAGTGTTTGTTTTAAAGCATGATAAAAATAAATAGACACATAATATATGGTTTGCACTTTATATTCATTACTGGGTCAATGACAGAGTAATTTGACCTGCTGCATACGTGATATACAGAATGCTAGTACAAATTTTTTAAAATTTTTTTTATATTTCCTTTATTTCATAATACATCATACAAACAGATACAGGGCCTACGCCGAAGCATTATTGGCCCTGTTGAAGTAGTTACAATATAAGTTAAAATAGGTCACAATGTAAAAATGATAGATATAGAACATATTTATGAACATGAAAATAATCTTGAAAACGTGAAGACAGGTCAGGTCTTGCTAGTACAAATCATTCTACCTCTGCAGATCCACCCCTTAAATCCTCACCTTTAATAGGGTGACTTGGTCCTCCTGGCATAGAATGGGGAATCCAGGAATCTGCTTAGCAAAGTCCACTACATTCTTAATTGAGGGAATAAAGTTGGATGACATATCTTCGGCAACTCCATTGTCCCCTGTTGGTGAATTTAGAGGACATGCCTAGAAATGTCAAGTTGTTTGTTTATTGTCTTGTTCTTGTTTATTGTACATTACATTACAATACAATATAATACATTTGAAATGCTAGAGTTAAGTGTTTGAAATTAAGTGTGATATAATATTGTATACAAAGCTGTAGTTCTATTCAAATCTATTTAATTTACCTTGATATTTACAAGGTCAGATTATTCAAAAATATTTTTAATTATCCAATAATTTTTTATTGTCTTGTTTGACATAAATGTAAGTTCAATATACACAATGATTAAGTCTTTTAATATACATGTTTTACACAAATGGCACCATTTGGTAGTTTAGCATGATGAAACAAAGCATTAAAATGCAAAATGTCACCACTTGCCATTTGTTACAGATGCCCAATGCAGACGAACACCATCCACAAAAATTTGGAGACTAAACCATTATGTACTATCAAGTGGTGACATAAAAACTGTTTTTTTTCCAAAATGAGCCCCAAAATAGGAGCAAGGATCAACAGTCTAAAGTACGTAACAGTATGGACTCACATAAAACTAATATGAGAATTGGCTCATATATTTCTACAAAAAGAAAAAAAAGAAAAAAATTCTACAGTATATATAAGCCAAAAAAAAAATGCTGAAGAGGGAATTTCTTTAGAGTGAAACCTGTAAAGTGGAACACCTCTAGATGTGGAACATCTCTGTTAGTGGAACACTTTAGAGTCTCAAGACGAATGTTAAATGAACCTCTATAAGTGGAACACCTCCCAGGTGGAACACCTTTTAGAGGTATCAAAGGTGTTTCACTTAGACAGGTCTTACTGTATTTAAGATTTAGATGCTATCATGTGATAAGATTTCATCTTTTGAGAAACTTCTCCCTAAAATTACTGAAATAATTGTTATTGTTAGTACCTCAGTTGAAATACTTGATTTTGATTGGTCAACGAGCGGTGAATAATTTTAACTGTACACCGCGCAATGCATTGCCGGTGAATAATATTCCCAGCATTCCACTAAAATGACGTCATTATCAGACGATAAAATGGCCGCCGCTAGCACTAGCCGTTTCAAAAATGTTGAAGATGAGGATATTATTAGTCTCTTAGAGAGTAAAGACAGTCAAAATACGAAGAAAAATCTAAAACTTTGTACAAAGCTTTTAATGGACTTCGCCCAGGAGAGTAATTTGACTCCATTGAGTGAACTTACTGCCATGACTACGGTCTCGGTTTACAGTCTCGGGATATAATTTTGACAGTAAACCTCTGGAGAGGTAAATAATTGTATATTGTATATTATTACATGTTTTTTTCCTAGGTTGCCCATCTTGAGAGTTAATATATAGTTATTTCCTACCAGATACTGTGGCACCGTGATAAATTCAGGATTCTCCCATGCTTTCTTCGTGAGTAACTCTATCTTTTCCTTCGTAAAATCAGTAGTCTTCATGTGCGACATCACGATTTGGGAAACCATGTCTGTTTCATTCTTAAGAATCGAACTCAGCAGAGATATCTGCGACTGGGAGTTCACTTTCTGCATTTGTTCCATAATTTTAGCTTTTTCTTTTTTTGGTACCCTCCCAAAGCGCACGGCTGAAATATAGTATGGATGTACTAATCTAAAGAAAGTCGAGACATCCCACACCTTATCAAGAGCAAACAAGAAAAGAATAAGTCAATGAACTTTAACTCAATGTGTAAATAGATCATGTCAAGTGATATATTGATTGTGAGTCAATAATTTGTTAATTTAACTTATTTATTACTTCTTGTTACTAATAATTAACCACATAACTTTTCTACTTGACATATTTTATTGACCTAGATTTGGTCTTCCCCAGCGAAAAAAATGGAACTGTTAAACAGATGTATCATATAGCAAAGATTGACTTATTATATACTAACCGTCGCGTGACATTCCTACGGCTATACATTTCTTCAATCTGAAAAACATAATAACAGTGCAATAGTAAATAACATTGCAATTGTACATTAGAGCATCTACCTATTTTTTCTTGTTAAGGTTTATAATTATAGCAAGTCTCTTAAAAACTCTGGCAAGTAGATATATATACAGTAAAACCTGTATATAGTGAACAGTCACTTATAGAACCATAAAAAGTGTTCTCGGACTCTCGGAACGTGTTTTAGGGGATTCAATGTATAATGTGTCTTGATGCTCAGTAAACACAGGTGTTCACTAGAGAGAGAGGAGTTCACTGAAGGAGGTTTTACTGAATATATATACTCCTATATACGAGCAAAAAGCCCCATTTTTTGTTCAATCGTTCCAAAATTGGGATAAATAAATCTTCGAGAGTGTCTGAATTAAAATAAGTTAACAGACATGATCAAAGATTTTAAATGACATTTACACATAGCCAGCCAATCAGAACACAGTATTTCAAATCATCTACATTCTTGAAATTACAACCAACCATAGTTGATTCAGTGATATTGGTTACTCTCATTAATTTCACAATTTCAAGTTGGCAGTGAAAACCTATAAATATAGTAACATAATAGGAACATGACAGTCAAATCGTTACTATTAAAAATAGACCAATGTAACTTGGTAGAATGAAAGAAAATTGAAAAGGTTCAATTGTGCCAAATGTGATCTCAAATCCCTATTGGAAGGTTGGAAGATGGAGTTATGAACATTTGTCTGGGTTACCTTTTTTTGGCAATTCAATTGAGTCAAGGTTCTTTCATGGCGTGATTTCTATTTTTAGACTTTTATATCCCGCTTCCCTCAACATAACCTTGACATGACAATCAGGGACTCAAGTTCAATGGCCTTATGGTTAATGGTACACTTTGGCTCATATTAATGTCACTTTCAATTTGTCAAGTGCACTGACACAAAAACATATTTAACATGCAGATTAGCAGGTAAATAATCTATTTAATTTCACCATGCCACGGATATCAATGTTAAAAAGGCCTATTGAAAAATGTCAAAGTGATATATCTCAGGAAGTTACATTTATAAGTGCAAGCTTTAAAATGCTTTGAAGCTTCTAGCTCAATTTTGAAGGAAGTTGCATCAATCTTTGTAAATTTCAAGATAAATCTTAATTTTTGGCTTGTTTATGCCACAATCGCATCCCCCAACTGAAAACCGAAATTTATTTGGCGATCACACCCCCTCTGACTGAAAGCTGGCTACGCCCCTGGCATGGTTTTTTTGTAATTTTTCCTGAAACGGTCATTATCCCTGTAGAACTAACCTATGATATATAACTTCAAAAAGTGATATGAGATATGTGATATGAGAACCTGCAGACTAGCATGACAATGGTTACTACAACCTTATTTATACAACATTACTTGTCTGGTTATTTTGATAAAGTATGTAAACATGTTCTGAAGAATGATACATAATATTAAATACAAGTGTTACAGTCTATGTACTTTTATAAACATGTGCAAACACATGTAAAAATCTGCATAGAGCGCTATATATGTCAGACATTGTGATGAATCGAGTCATTAAAAAAGATATTTATACTGTATGCATGAACAATATGTATGTGAGACGAGAATTTCCTAAAGCCCATTAGAATATCATTTACAGAAGTGAGTGCTGGTGATGGAAAACACAGAACATGGCTTGCGCATGACATGATTAAAATGTTTCAATGATTTACTTTGTGGTTTTTCGGGTGATCTGAGCTGATCTTGGGGGTCATTTCTTTTTATCTATTTGATTCGTTTCAGTAACAAAATGTTGGAACGTCGAAGGTACAATTTCTCTCTTTTTCTTATTTCACGTATTGTAGGCAAAATCCCAACAACATTTTTCTCACAAATGTGCAGTATCATATTTCGAAATTCCATTTATGTAACTTAAGCGAGGTGAATAAGTTAAGTAATGTGAATAAGGTGAAACTGACATTGTATCAGTCCTCCATTCACTGAATGTCTCTAGGCATTTAAAAAAACAGTTGTATAAAGTAGAGCGAGCAACCCTAGAAATAGGTAGCAATACCTAGAATGTCTATTTTCTTTTAGGACTAATTTTTTACCCTGACAAGAGACTTTCAACACTTTTGGGGTCATCTGTATTCTGTAAGACTGCTTGCAATCTTCAATCTTTATTTTGAAATATATGTTTTCTTTCTCCCTTAACCTCTTGAATCCCAGGCTCTAAAATTGAGTGAAACCAGAGATTTTTCCATTTTTGCCACCTTTTGACATTATACTACATACCTATACAACTTCAGATTTATACACATTTTAAAACAATTTTTGTGTAAATTGGATGAAAATTGTTCAAATAAGAGCAATTTTAGTGAAGGTAAGTCAAGAGGTTAAACAGAGCTTCGGCTAATGTTCTAATCTCTGACCCCCTTGGTGAAACAGATGATGAAGGATAGGTTAGAGAGGCTTCAAACAATATTTTTAGCCAGGAGGCTGTTTCTCGAAAGTTTCGTTATTAACGAATCCTTAATTCAATTGTAAATAATAATTTTTCCGTTTCTCAAAAGTTAACGATTCGCGATGACGTAATAATATTCATCGATCTATTCGTTATTCATGACAGAATTTATGAGTACGAATGGGGGTGTCGTTTTTCCATTAATGATGCGGAATCCATAGAAACGAATCCATGATTTGCTACTAACGATTCGCTAATAACAATAAGTTTCGAGACAGCCTTCAGAATATTCAAACACTTATAAGTCAATGAAAGAATTACCCTAACCTCATTCATTAGCTAATTAGGTATAACACTCTCTGCAAATGACAGATCACTTTACAGTTACATCCCTTCCCAGCTCGGACTGTTATGGCAATAGGTACTCATAATAGAGTACGTTCTATAAAAGGGTAAAAATGAGAAAAAACAATCTGACCTGAAACATCAGAAAAGGATCTATGCTTAATTAATCATCTAATTAAAATGAATCCACATGAAAATGATAAACCATATGACAATATGCAAGCCAGTGAAGCTGAAGATATACATGTACTGTATGACATGTATTCGTGACAGTCATATGGATTTGAACATTTAGAACATGTTTAATTCACTAATACCCTATTGGAACTCCCAAGTAGCATGGCATTAACATGCAAAATGTCACCACCTGCATTTTGTACTGACACCGGACGCATAACACCAACCACTGAATGCCAAACACCAACCACCAATCCAAACATCTTCCACAAGTTGGAGAACATAACAATATGTCACCACTTATTTCAGAATATAACATGTTATCCAGCATATGCAGGTATGAAGCCATTGCTATGCGTAACATTGTACCTATTATTCCTTACATCCGTTATCTGTTATTGTACACCCTGATATACGTTATATCTTATGTTTTAAGGTCTTATACAGTATGCCTTGTGTTTTGTAGATTCTTAAATCTTATGCCAGATGTTTCAGGTATCTTATAACTTATGTTTTTTGGAGACTTATACCTAATATCTTACAAAAATGTGAGGAATCAAAAATGAAATGTCCTGGTTTGCCAATGGTCTTACATACCTTGTCTCTCAACCCCCCCCCCCATCCAAAGTATTGGTGGGCCCAGAAATTCAGACCCCACCTTTAACCGATTCAGGATTTTAGCTTTGATTTTAAATTTAACACCAGGTAAGGGTATTTTCATGCTTAAGAGGCTCTCATGGCTCAATTGTGTTTTTCAAAATGTCTAATCTCGATGCCTGTATTCTCAATTAAAAAGAATAACTTCAATGCTTTTAAAATTGCACCTGATAAAACCTGAATATATGAATGTCATTATCTTAGTGGTGAATCCTATTCCAACAAAGTAACAGCTGTTTTAGAAAGCAATTTAAAATTATCTATAAAAAGGCAAATAATATAAAGTCAGTAACGTCGTTTTGATGTAAATAGAAAAATGACCTTGAAAAGGTTCTCATATGATAAGTACTGAGAAAAAGGCTTCTATGTTTTGTTTGTTCGGATTCCTGTTTCATCTTTCAGCTGTGTATTATCCGATGTACTTTTAAAGTAAATTAATGGCAATTGATTATTACCTAAAATAACAGTGGAAATAAGTGTTTATTTATTTAGATAAATGAAACCCATATGTTTATTTTTCAAAGGTACTTATTCCATTTCAGGCATTATTAGATGCATGGCATTGAATAAGTGCTGATAAAATAATGGTTTCCAATCATTTTCAATTCTGAGCCTCCCCCGTGAATTACCAGATCAACCCTGAATGGAACTCCCAAATATCCCAATATTCAATACCTATAACTAGTGAAGAAACATATAGTGATGCAGTTGAATCAGGTTGAGTGGACACAAAGGGGCCAAATGTACTACTGGCAATTTTCAACTCATTATTGTAATAATAACATCATAAACCTTTAAAACCACCTATAATGCCTAGTATAAGTGATTGGTAGTAATTGCTTTCTGTATTGTTGCTTAAAATGAAACAAACACATCACTGGTGGATCCCATGGGGCCACTTCCCCCTTGGGTGGGCCCAGAAATAATTTTGGGCCCAAAAAATTTAGACCCAAAAATTTGTAGGGCCACAATAAGTGGGCTTTTTGGACATAACTTGGCCTTTTTTGGCCAAATTATCAGAAAATAAGCCTTAAAATTTCAAAATGTGGGCCCAATTTTCTAATTTAGGGGCCTACATTTTTTAATGATTTTTACGATTTGAAATCTGCCACCTCCCCTCTTGTTAGCTTCTGGATACGCCAGTGCACATTGCTAAAGAAATGACTTCACCTGATACCATTTGATAATTGTGAAATTATGTTTAATAAAGTCGCGAACACCAGTAAATACCTCTCTTGTGAACAATATAAAACCGTAAAAACTTACTGTTGTATACAATTCCAGTCTAGAAAAGTCAGCATTGTGAGCTACACCACTGTGACCTTCAAAGAGATCCTCGTTTTTATGAATATTTACTCAATGAGTAAATATTCATGACATTCTTCTCAGTCTAAAACTCTGACTTTATCTGTATATCCATTTTTTAAAAACATCATTCAGATCAATACTGCAAATTGATGGATTAACATAGTCAATATTATGCCTCGTTATAACATTAAGAGCAATATATCTTTGAGTTAAACAGCTATAAATGTGTGTTGTGTTCCACATACTCACTGATTACTGGAGTATCTTAATGAAGAAGTAGAAGGATACTTCTGATATAAATAACCTGATTTCCGTTTACTCATGATAATGTACATTTTGTGATTTACTGAAGTGATATTTTATATAAGATTCTATCAAGGTGTACACTTCTCTGTGACAGTTTAACACCTTCCTAATGAACACCTGAATGTACTGAACACTTCCCTTGTGAAAACCTCCCAGTGAACACCTCCCTTGTGAATACTCTCAAGTACACAGCTGCTTCTAATGAACATTTTGTAAGCAAAATATCTCTCAAGTGAACATGGTGAACACCTCTCTCTAGTGAACACCTCAATGATAAAAACATCCCAGTTGACAGTTGCTTTTAGTCAAACACCAGTCCCTAGTGACCATGTGTCTCTAATAAACACAAGTCCTTTGTGAACACATCTCTAATGAATATCTGCAAATGGTAAATACCTCTCTAATGAACACATGTCTCTACTAAACACCTGCCTCTAACAAACACCCAGCGATACATTTCATCAAATATAATATCACGTGAGCTGAGGTATCTTTTGTAGCATATCACTCATGTGACACTAACACAATATGGACATTTGACGTGACTGGTACATTATTGATCACCATGCCTACAGCTACTGGCACATATGAACGAGCCATTGTCATCTAGACAGCTAACAGATGGTCTTGATATAATTCTGCTTCTCTTTGCACAGGTTGGTATGCAGTCATTATTACATGACTGATAATATGTGAAAAATCAAGAAAGATTGGTTAAAAACTGTAGAAATGGGAGACCTAGTGTCATTACTAAGTGAACACCCTGTATATCACGCAATTTTAGATGCCAAGTACTCATTTTGAATAGCTGTCTTAAACACACTGAAAATGTCCTATTTTTCTCATCTCATGGTTTCCCCCGCCAGTGTAAACAGTCAATATAAATAAGCTTTGTGACGTGATCCAAAAAAAAGAATTTTGCAATAGATTTTTATTTAGAAGATATGATTGATGATGATGTGATTGATGATGATCATGTCACAAACTAGGACGTGAGTCATCATAGACAAAAATGGCCTCACTTTAAACATAAGATATTTAAACGATAGTGTATTAAATGATCTCACCTACAATACTGACATCTATTCCTGTTCACTCGAACAATATTGCACTGTTGGTTCTTCAGGCAGGATCGATACTGAATTTTCTGTTGTATGCTCCGTCGAAAAAAGCCCTGAAATCATAGAAATAAGACCTGGAATTATATTATAGAAATAAGACCTAAAATCACATTTGAGAAATAAGACCTGGAATTGCATTATAGAAATAAGACATTAGAGAAATAAGACATGAAATTATGTTAGAGAAATAAGACCTGAAATCGCATTTGAGAAATAAGACCTGGAATTGCATTATAGAAATAAGACCTGAAATTACATTATTGAAATAAGACCTGAAATCGCATTTGAGAAATAAGACCTGAAATCGCATTTGAGAAATAAGACCTGGAATTGCATTATAGAAATAAGACATTAGAGAAATAAGACATGAAATTATATTAGAGAAATAAGACCTGAAATCGCATTTGAGAAATAAGACCTGAAATCGCATTTGAGAAATAAGACCTGGAATTGCATTATAGAAATAAGACATTAGAGAAATAAGACATGAAATTATATTAGAGAAATAAGACCTGGAATTACATTAGAGAAATAAGACCTGAAATCGCATTTGAGAAATAAGACCTGAAATTACAATCTTTTGTCAAAAAGTTGAATATTTTGGGTTTGTTAAGTCCCGCTGGGTTATTTGAAACTGGTACACATGAACAATGACATCATAAGGTAGTCATGGTAATAAATATATAAAATATTAAGCAAAATGTCACCATCTGCCATTTGTTACGGATGCTGAACACCAAACACTAACTGCCAGATACCAACCACTGAACACCACCCACCAAACACTGTTGACAAAAAAGTTGGAGACTATAACAATATGTTACCACTTGTGATGGTGACATAAAAACTGGGCTACTGTATAAGCCTGAATTTACTCCAATCCAATGATATGCCAGATTTATAGTGCATTAACACAGTGTCTTTCCTGTAACATTTTCAACTGGTTTTTAATGAATTTTCTTACATTGCCCTTTTAGCAGACTCATTTATAAGAATATTTTATCTTGTAGAACTAGATCATACTCGATCAACATTTAAACGGCTAGCATGGATCATTTAGCAAATTTGTATTTTTATAAAATCATACTTAGTTTCGGATCATAAAACACTATTTCATCACAACCAAAAATCATTATGGGTTTTATTAAATAAGTTTGACAAATGATTGGACATGGCGTGATGATCACATATAATTAGTATTCATGCCTTTGTAAGATCTCTGTTTTTATGTGTTTTATAAGCCACATAAATGACATGAAACCTTAGATGGACTAGAAAACTATCATGCTTCACAGAGTTTATGATAATAATCATAAGAATAAGATTTAAGCCCTCAATTGAGCGTGACCAATGATTCACTGTTGTCTTAGAAATACCATTTATGACACAATAAATTGAACACTCGATGGAAAGTTCTATTCAATTTATGCCAGGTTTAACGATTTGAATAAAGGATTACTCAATATGCAAATTGCAATTCATATAATTCATTTTATTGATCAAATTTTCTATTTTACTATATTAATTAACGTATAACTCAGTAAGTTTCATCTTGGAGTTGCTTTTGTTTTAGTTTGAATGTCTGTGTCTTGCTCTCTTAATAATGAGAAAATGACGTCATTTATATTGCTGGTTGACAGACATTATAATAAAAGATGGGTATCGATATGGCGAACTTTTTGAACACCTGTTTCTCTTAAACATCTTTTGAATGGTAACAATATATGTATACTTTCATCTATATTGTTTTAGAAAACACATCAAACACTTGTTTCGTTCTTGGTTTCATGTTTCCAGAGTGAAATGAGAAACGTCTTTCCGAACCTCATTGGAACAAAACAACATAAACACAACATGTTTAGGTCTCTCATTATTGTAATTGTACAAAGGACATTTTGGTTGATTTTAAAAAAGTATCTTGTTAATGAAATAAAAGGTTTATCTTGGGTTTTATCTATTTTGGGGGGATTTGGTTAAAAAAAAAAAATTCCTTAATATTGAGAGGTCTAAAAACATGTTGTATATGCAATTTTGTTCCAACAAGGTTCGGAAAGACATTTTATTTCATTCTCAAGATTAGGTAGAAAGGAGCAAAAACAATTGCACTAAAAAAACATTTATATAAAATATTTCTAAATAATTTTCGCATTAAATTGTTGTCAATCAGTCAATATTACATAAAATACCATGTTTTTTTTACAGAATGTTTTCAATGATTGGTTTCAGAGAAAAACATTGTTGAATTCAGTTCTCCATATCGATACCACTCCTTTGAACTTATGATATATCAAATTAAAGATAATTAAATTCCCCATCTACTGGTATGTAATATGATATGTCTTCATCAATAAAATCAATATTTATTTTTGAAATATGAGTGTCCAATTTTTTGGACCACCCTGTACATGTCAACTATGATGGGCTATCTGATTTGAACATCTTCTTTATATGATAATTTTTTAACCATTTTATTCAATTTCAATTTATTTTGCTCAAAATTCCATCTTACTATATTTGATACATTACATGAAATAGATTTGATACTAAATAACACATTCATATATTGATCATGCATGTTGTATTTTACAATCAGTTCATATATTGATTACTCCAGTTTCATTTACCTTTGTGTCAAATAATTAAAATTTTACCTCAATATCTGATATACATGTATGAAAATACAGTAAAAACCTATACACCTGAACACCTCTCAATGGCGTAATGTCATATACGCATAAAACACCATGGTGTACTCTCAAATTTAGAGAAAAGTTGATTTTTTTATATTGAATTGCCACACACTTTAAATGAATAAAAATGTCACATAATCTACATTTTCCTAGTCCATATTAGTCAGAATTTTGTATTTTAAAACACCCCAGAACGCTTCAAATGCATCTCATTATCAAATTTTCTTGGGGGAGAACCTACTAAACACCCTCAAAACTTCGCTCACTTGTGGCGTATACTCACGAAATACCCCCGCTACGCCACTGCCTGTCTTGTCTGAACCCTTTTTCAATTTTATTGTTTCTACCATTATTCATGTTAAAAGACCTTATATGTGAACACCTGCTAATCCAAAATCTATTAGAAAGTTAAAGTGACATTTGATTGAATTCAATGCCTAGTATGCCAAGGTCAGATAATTTGCTCTAATTCATCGGCCGGCGCACGGCTGATTCTAGTATTTTGTTCAAAACTGATTTCAACTTGCTTCAACTTGACCAAACTTCTTTTTAAATCATGTACAAGTTCCCAGAAGTTCACAACTGACCTCAAATATGAGATTTGACCTTCAATTTTGAACAAAATATTCAATAAGCTGGGCACCGGCTGATGAATCGGGGCAAATGTGACCTAAGCATTACCTAAAAAAGAAAGGACTTTTCAATTGTTTCCAATGGTATTATATTAAAGCTCCTATCACATGTTTTGTTTAAGCCTCAGTCATATTTACTGTCTTTGGCTCGATTACAAAAAAGACCGACCACCGACCAGTCACTCTCCAGATTTGGGCCCATGAGGTGGGAGGTTGGTACTTGGTCAGCGGTCAGTTTTTACACAATCACTATGAATATATGAACCAATCTGAATATAAAAATGGTTTGTGATTACACGTATATTGGAAAACTATTTTGATATATATGGTCCATGAAAACACGGAATCAAAGCATACAATTTGATCCTGGGCAACAATACTACTACAGTACATGTAATTGATCTTTCGTATAAGTGTTTTTCGTCCTAGCAATGATAAGCAATGTGCGAGGAAGACTTACCTCATGTGTTCACATTCAAAATAAACTTCATAGGCTCTTGCCTCGCCGCCTGCATTTTAAACCTTAATAAGACATTCTGGCATATCTTTAGGTTGAACATTTATTGCAGAGACGTATCCAACGTTCCTGGACATACATTTAGTAAAAGGAAACCATCTGAATGAACGTTATTTCAGCTGAAATTCCTGCAGTCAAAATCTTTCAAAGTGGGACTCCTCTTCTGGTAACTTTAAACTTAATTTACACTTCTAAATGCTGAAATAGCCAAGATAGGCATGTCCATCCATTTTTACATCCTTTTACTGTATGTATGTCCGTTACCGTATGTAGGTCTGGGATCGTTAGAAACAAAGTTCATTCGCTGAAACAGCCTTGATAGGCATGTCCATCCATTTTAAGAAAATAAGCCTGACAAAGAAGATGTTAAGTCAAACGTTGCCCCGATGGCTCAGAAAAAGTGAATTTTTCTCTGCTGGGGGCCGCACCTAAATCAAGTGAAAATGGCAATAAGATTTCATAAGACTGCGTGTTAATTGCAGTGTTTATTTCGCAAAATTTTAATAAAATTTCAACAATTAGGTAGACTTTATTCTTTTGGTTGGTCTTTTGCATATCTTATTTTAATTTTAACAGGTAGACTTTTTCTTTAGGTCGGTCTTTTATGAGGGGTGATCAATAAGTAATGGACACATTTTTTACACAGATGTTTTTTATAGACCGATCCCTTTGATTTTCTCACCAGTGATACATCATTCAATAATGTATCACTCTTACGATTTGAAAGCAAAACATGTAATATCTTTTGATATATCTTTATTTCCGTGAAGGAAGTATAGGTATACCCTGGGAATGACACTAAGTTACACATTATGAAGCTATTTTAGCTTATTTAACATGCAATGCAGTTGAATGCAGGCTGAACAAAACTAACCATGATGATTATGAATTACACCATTTTGATATGCCATACTTGATTTTGAATATTTTATCATCACTATGTGGTATTCATGCCACATTCATTTTACAGGGCCCTCTGAATAGGTTCCATCAAGTGCTACATGTACACACTTCCTCATCCTCTTAACCTAAGATTGCGAGACAAGGCTGAATCCATTCTCTGAAGTGAAAGCAAGATGCAGTGGCAAAGCTTGTTTTTGTTTCATCAATGTCATTAAACCTGCTTCCTTTCTCCATGGAAATTAGTAATCCTAGTACAAGTATATAAATAAATAAGTCACATGTAGGCAGATCTGGACAAAATGGTGAATTGGCCAAGGGCTCAGTTGAGGTCCAGGGATATTGTATTCTGAACATTTTGAGATCTTTGGCCAGGTGCATTGTCCATATGAAGTAGGGTGCTCCTTTCTCTCACCAACCCCTTCTTCCACAATGTTTTCTCATATTGACCTGCAAACCCCAACCATACAACACTTTGACATCACAATACTTACCGTTTATGTGTTACAAGTCGCATTAACACTTGTTGCATATCAAAAAGTTCAAATCTAACTGAAATATGCCAGATTGGCTAAAAACTAAGTATGTGACATAAATGTCAGTACTTCTCGGGGTACCTGGACCTATTTCACATAAATAAGGATATATCAACATTCATTACATATTTTGTCTTCAAATCTTTCGAATTGATCGGTAATTGAATGAACTATCACAGGTAAGAAAATCAAAGGGATTAGTCGATAAAGTATCTGTGTAAAAAAGCGTCTATTACTTATTGATCACCCCTCATACATAGAAGTCGGTCTTTTATATATATTTTTCAAACGCTATTTTGAGGCTACCCATGGAAAACACCGACCGGTTGGTGGTCGATGGGGACGGTCTTTTTCTTAAACCCATCTATGGCGCCCGTAGACCCGAATTTATGTAGAAAATCTACATCGTACTGCTTATTCCTACATTTAATGCTGACATTTTAGTAGATAACCTAAGTCCTTGAAATGATATAATCATGAATATTTCAATTATGAGGGCTATGAATTATAATACATAGCCTTGGCCCTTTGACGTATTATTGATGAACTAATTTTCAAGATAATAAAAACCGATAAACCTAAACTGAAATTTTTTCAAATAATGCCTTTTGTTTTGGGTTTTTAACAGAACAATGTTTAGTAAACCAATACGTCAATAATTTATGGTACAAATATGTGTTAATCATGTACAATAAAAATGTATAAACCGCGTCAAAAAATACTTGAATCGTAAATGATTATAAAGTCAATAGAAAAACTTCAAGGGTAATTAAGGTACGGTTATGAAACACAAGTTGAAGGTCTCAGTTTCATAAGCATAATGCCGTGGCTTTTTTTGTATTTAATATGAATAAAATAATGTCAGCTATAGAATATCTCTTACTGATTAGCATTGACTTTGGCCTTAAGTATATCAACTTATTATTACAGTATTTTATACTAAAATATATGTATAGTACCCCACACAAGTTTTTGATAATAACTTTGATCCGTGATTTGAACACTCTACCATGTAATATTTGTTTTTAAACTTAGCACACATGAACACATGTACCGAAAACCATTGCTGTATGCCGACATCATGATTTTGTGATATAAAAAGGCGTGCAATGGTATATGTATGATAAGAGTAGAAGAATATGATAAGTATTATTGAAAATCATCCACATTTAATCAGGAAGGCTAGGCAGGAAATAGCAACAGAATACTATACTAAAGGCTTCATAAGGAAGGGAAACTCAAAACTGCAGACATCCTAAAATCCCAGCCCAAGTCAAACCTTAACGTACATATATTACTATATATCACTTATTTATATTATTAATGTTGAGTTTGGAACAAAACAGATTGAAGAATACAATGAAAGCTTTCCAATGATATGTGGAATGTATGGGTACGTAGCTATACAGAAGCTGCACATAATGTTGTTAACCTGCGAAGATATTTCGTGATTTATTTTTAAAGTTCAATGCATAACAATTTCCGAGTACCTGAACATTTGATTAGATTTTTTTATGAACGAGATTAAAGAACACTAAATAAGCTTTCCCATGGTGTGCTGTATTTGTGGCAAATCATATGTAGTGGCCATATAATGTTGTAATGTTTTGTCATCTATTTATAAAGTTTCTAACGGTGCGTTGAGCGTTTTATATGTGTGCATGTGACAAGCTATTTCAAATCATAAAAATGTATGTAATGTTGTCAGTTCGCGAAAATATTTCATCATCTATTGCATAATGCGTTACATTTACATATTATCCCGTTTCTCTGTCCTCGAGAGGGGATCCTTGAATTAATGCTTGACAACATGAAATAAATGTTTAAATTGTGGCAACCTTTTTTAATTGGCTTCCATTTTGGAAGATTCTTCTAAATCAGACAACCTGTGGCCATTTAGCGTATTCCTATAAACTGCTGACTTGTTTTCCGAAAAGATAGATGGACAAACAGACAAACGGACAGGCGGCTTTTCTATCTCTGGGGATCAACTGGAAACGATGACAGGTTGTTCTTGTCTCAAAATAGATGTCCTCTCGTTTGTAAGGATTTTGTCAATTCTAATTAATAGATATCATGTATCAAAACTTATAATTTTACTCAAAATAAACTTTAAATCTGTGTTAGCTAATTTGTCTATCAATTACTTTGTGCTTGCATTGCCTCTTAAAGGTTACAAGCAGATAGTTACACTCAGGAAAACTTTTCGGTACAATGTGTGTCGGTATTATGGCATTTGGTATAACACCTTTCGGTACAATGCGCGTTGGTATAATGGGTTTTGGTATAATGCGCGTCGGTATAACGGGTGTCAGTATAATGTGCGGACCCCTTGAAATTACTGCCCCACTATTGAACATATGGCTCAATAAAAGATTTCCAATGTTGGAAATCATCTCTAGTTAACATGTGCTAATTTTAATAACAAATAGCACAGGTTTAGGCTGTTCAAAAAACTTGAGTGGGGTACTATATATAATCACAAGTGCCAAAGGTAAAGGACCAAAAACTGTAAAGAAAGCCTAGCAAGAAAAGCAAACTCTAAGTGTAAACATGTCATAAGAAAAATAGACCCTATAATTCTTGATAATGTCATGATGTATAAATACAGTGGTTTTAATAATGTTCATGACAGCCAAAGAACTGGTTGAAATTAATTGAAAACAACTGAATTAAATACTGAAAGGGTAATAAGTGGGTCCTGTTTTAATTTGGGAGATGTTATTCTAATATTATTTGATTTTGAACTCCTATTCGAAGCCATTCATATCAAAATAAAAACATGTTACTCTTTCGAGTCATTAAAACACGGGCATTCAACTATGTTTTATGCCCATGATTAAAACTACATTAAAAACCCTTATCAGGTCAATCTATCTTAACATAAGTGTATTTGCATAACCTCTTTATGAGTATACTGATGTACTTCAAGTTTTATTCATTTTTTCACTTGATTTTTACACATTGAACGTTCAACTTTATACTCGCCCTACTTCTTGTTTACATACAACTAATAAAATAAAAACAAATCAAATACTTAAGTGAGACCTATTTTCTAGTAAAAGTTCATTGACGCAAGGTAAGTGCCATATATAGTATTTACTTACCTTGCATCCTTCACATGCATGCACGCCATAGTGGAAACCACTCGCTCTATCACCGCAAACCCGACAAAGGACTGTATCCCCATCAAACTCTGGAAATAGACAAACAATTAACCTAATAGAATAACACAATACAGAAAACCGTTTTCTTCAATTTGAAACATTCATTCATTTATATCTGAGTATACAGGGTGTCCGGAAAGTAAAGATACAAATACTCTAATTTTAAGAGATTTAGGTTTTTTGTAATGAAATTTTTACATACTGTAGAGGAACTCTATTGCAATATATCTACCAACTTTTGTTACATAATCTAAACGTGTTAAAGTTACAGTTGCCATGGTTACGGTGGTGAGGGGTATGCGGAGCAGTTCCAGGATATCGCCAAATGTGATAAATTGCTAAAATATAACCATTTGGAACAGTGTTTATTATTGTACTTGTTATCAATGTTTTGTTTTGTTCAATATTGTATTATTGTTGCCATTGTGTCCTCTTTGGTATAATGATATTATTGATACATAACTAAACTAGTACCCCACACACAATTTTGTCGCCTACTTTGATTTATTGTAGAAAAATATCCAAAAAGAGTTTGCTTATGAAATTTGGCATACTTTAACTTGAAACATTTTGTGACACTCAAATTTTTTTATTTGGAAATTTAAGTAATATTGACGAAAAACAAGCAGTTTTTAAATATTCATGTTTTAACAAAATTCGACGAAAATTTCCAGTTTTGCAGTTTCAAAGAGAGTTCAAATCATTTTGATTACATTTTGATTACAAACTTATTGCATTACATATGGTTTATCTGTTCTCTTAAGATATTGTTACTATGTGTTTGAGATGTTTTAACTCCTAAATAGGAATATCTTAAGGGTGGTTTTATTATTGTTAAAGAGTGAAGACCCCTATTAATTATTCTTTCAATACATGGGTAGGTGCATGTATCATATGGCTTGAAGTCTAAAAAGGTTTATCAGTGCATTAAAAGACATCCCTGCGTGGATTTCTATCCCATCCTACCACTACAGCATTTCCTACTTTCTCACTCGATTAAAAAATCGCATCTCATAAAATCTCAAGAAAATGCTTGTATTTTGTTTAAGTTATTTAAGGCATGATTAACAGTGAGCTTGCACTCTTCAAAATTTCGTTGGCCTACGATAGGGAGGCAACATTCGTCCAATGACTCACAGGTTGCCACCGACCGCTTACCTTTTGTTGGACAACATGAAATGATTCACATGGATTTAACATGTGACCTTTCAGAGGTAACAGCATAAATTGTAACATTATAACAGTCACTCCTGCTTGGTTCAGTTTTGCTTTTACCTGTGGATTATAATGGTGTTTAATAGGATAGGATTGACCAGAATATTCAAATTGTTTTTGTAATTCAATACAAATTGTTTCAAAATTTTGCTTAATTTAGGTCAAATCTGTAAATACGTAGCAATTTAGAAACCGATGTCAAATTGTGGTGAAGTAATATTACCCCAAACAAAAAAATTTGAGTGTCACAAATTGTTTCAATTAAAATGTATGCCAAATTTCATGAGGAAATTCTTATTGGATTTTTTTCTACAAAACATTAAAGTGGGCGACAAAATTGTGTGTGGTGTACTAATGTAATGTCACTAACCATTCCAGTAATCAAAGAAAAATATATAAGTGCTTGGAAAAAAGGCCCCTGGATTAATAGGAAAGTCAATAGTGGACCTACATAATGCACCAATTCACAATGCAAAGAAAACAAATCTTACAATTGAATATCTTAACATTAAACCTTTGTACAATGGCCCATATTTCAATGATGATGACCCGTTGGACTTCTACAATTTAATGAATACCTTAAAGCAATATTTGTTAGAAGTTCAACATAAAACTGAGACTCTGCTTGAAGCCAATGTTATCAGCAATCTTAGGGATGGACAGCAGCGATTTTGCCAGGTCTTTGAATCGCCTGTCAAGATGCCCTAAGAATATTTAGATAATGGTGGGAAATAAATAATACCGGTTAAAAGTAGTAATGCCAAATGACCAAATAATGTTACAGTACTAATCCTTTTGCTGTTGTGGTACATAATTTGATGTATAATAGCAACAGATGATGGATTTCCAAGATAATATGAACAGGAAAAAGAATTATAAAACACAATTGCGACGCTGCTCCACATACCAGCAACTTCTGTTACCATAACAACCATTACTTTTTCATTTTGAAACAATTTGTCATGACAGTTGCAGGATAAATTGTTATAATGTCATTCTACATTCTGTAGTAATTTCATCTCTCAACAGGTGAATCCATTGAAATTAGAGCATTTGTATCTTTACTTTCCGGACACCCTGTATTTCACATCCTTCTGGATCCTTTATCAACTATTTTTAAACTGATGGACTAATGCGCTATATAACAATAGAATAATAAAAAATAAAATGTAAGGCGATTCTATTTATCTTATAAATATTCATCTTAAATCCCTGCCAATTTATAATTCCCTGTTCATATATCACTATTGTATACAGGTCATAATATATAATATATGCTTACAAAATATAGCTACTTTACCCCCTCCCTAAATATGAAAATAAATACATTTGTAGGCATAATATATATATATTTATATTTATATCTAATACAAGCCTCATCTCTTAACATGATGAGGAACATGAAAACAATATAGTTATGCACACATTCCAAAAAACATTAAAGCAACGGTAAGAAACTTTTTGATCGGCCCTTGTATTTGATAAAATGAGGAAGAATTTAAACCTAAGGACAATCTTCAATACTCTATGAGACAGATTTTTCAAAGGTAATGTAGCTTTAAAAACATTTTTTCTGGAACTTTTTAGCCAGGCAGGTGTTATTATCAATGATTTATCTACAAAATAATTATTTATGAGGGTAATTATATAATGGGTACTTATATTCTTTGATCGGCAAAAGTAGGAAAAACAAAACTAAGTAGGGTTTTTTGTTGGCTATATACATATATTATGATGACATTATTTTATCATAAATAACAAAATATTATAAAACAATAGCCTGCGTTGTAATGTAATGTTCAGCCGCAGACTTTCAAATACTGAAGAATAACAAGAGATTGTGACATATTACATTATTAATTATTATTTATCATCATTGATACTGTCCCATAGTCTAGATGAAAACCTAGAGGGGGTTGTTTAGGAGTATATACAATGTTTATTGCATAATATGTGTGCTCTGATAAAAAAAATTGGCAAATATGCAGTCATGTGACTTTGAGGATATTTTTGCAAAGTCAGTTAAATGTACAATTTTCCGTAAGTTAAGATTTCAGATTAACCCCTTCCCTGAAAAGCCTATTGATATGTCTAATCACAGGATGAAAAGGGAACATTTATGATTTGCAAAATGTTTTTAGTCAATGTAAATAAATTTCATAGTTTAGTGACAGTATGCAATTGTATAGCCAATATGATTTAGGCACCTGGTAGAGTGCCACTGTTATAAATAATATATATCCAAATAAATAAATTATATGAAATAAAGTAATTACAAAACTCAATATGATCAATAGTATATCATGAAATCATTATTAGTGTCACATTGCAAACTTTTAAGAAATGAATATAAAAAAGAATATGGTGTGACATGCGTGATACAGAGAATTACAAGTGTTTCATATCATTCTGTTAAATATGTGGATGTGTTTAAATCTCCATTGAATTCTTGATGCTTCATTATAAGTAGTTTTTAAATATTGATGTGCAAATTACAAATAAGTGTGTATTCATAAACAAAACATTTTTATTTGTTACTTGTATTTTTAAAATGAAAACAGTTTTCTTCAAGTCACTACCTTTATTTCTTTGTATTAAGATTGTATTTTCATGTTTATAAATCAAGAATTTGAATTTATTGTTAGTACATTTTGTTTGCTAACTCCAATTTTTGTCATTTTTTCTATTTACGTTTATTACATTCAGATGTACTTCAAAGTCATCATAAGTATCTGAAAGCGACATACAATATAATACATACAATATTATATGAGTATTTAAATATATGAGTATGAGTAGAATATGAGTATTCATGTTTATGTTTATATTTATTCATAAAAATAAGTGCTAACTTTGGCATGCTAAGTTCCATATTTTAAAAAATGTTTTCCATTGTAGTATATTTGAAAATGTAAATGTAATTCTGTTTTATAACTTTACAAAATGTCAAATTTTCCAACAAATAAGTGCTAATAAGTGCATGCAGGTTCCATAATTTAAAAAATATTTTCAATTGTAGTATATTTGTTAATGTAATTCTCTTTGATAGAATTTTACAAAATGTCAAATTTTCCAACAAATAAGTGCTAACTTTAGTGCTAAGTTCCATATTTTAAAAAATGTTTTCAATTGTAGTATATTTGTAAATGTAATTCTCTTTTATAGAACTTCACAAAATGTCAAATTTAACAACAAATAAGTGCTAACTTTGGCATGCTTAAGGTTCCATATTTTAAAAAATATTTTCAGTTGTAGTATATTTGTAAATGTAATTCTTTTTGATAGAACTTTACAAAATGACAAATTTTCCAACAAATAAGTGCTAACTTTGGCATGACAGGTCCCGTCTTTTAAATTCTTTTAATTAATTATAGTATATTTGCAAGGTAATTCTTTTTGATAGAACTCCAGGATATGTTCAATGTTTGAAATACAATGACAGAGGTAGAACTGAGCTACTAATGGGTCTTTACAATTCAAAATAATATAATGTCTCCAAATATGAAAAGTTATTTGGAATTTCAAGTACCGTGTACACACAGGTGGGAATTCTGTCACACACGAAATATCTAAAGAAAAAAAGAACTTATAATCTTATTTTATATTTCTTACTGACTACATGTCAGTCTCTGACATATCGGTCACTATACTAGCTTGAGTCTTATTTACACATATATTGTATTGTAATTGTGTAATTAGTTAAATGTGTTCCATAAACCCAGGTAGGGCTCGCTATGCTAAACAAGTGACACTTGAATAAATAAAAAAAATTTCTTTTGGAGAAATTGGAGACTGAATTAATTGTTTTCGAAGA